GAATATATAACAAAAATATAATCATGTTAATTATATAATTAAAATTATTTTAATTATGTTAATAATATTAAAACTAATTAAATACAAAATTTTTATAAAATTAAAACCGATTAAATATGAAAAACCTTTGAACAAACAGGTAGTACACTTACGGTCTATGACGGAAACCTCACCAAAAACGCCCATTGATAAATTGGGGTGTTTGGGATTGCTTATTTAAAATAAGTTATGTTTTTTTATGTAAAAGTGATTATTAACTTATGTGGTATCAAACCGGAGTTTTGTAAAAAATGTTTGGATTAGCTTATAACAGTACCAAAAAATAATACGTTGATAAGTTGTTTTTTAGTGTTTAGCAAATTTTATTTATATATATAAAATGATCAAAAATGACATATATGTAAAATGATCAAAAATGACAGTCTTCCATATTATTGACTTGGAAGTGTTTGGGATTGTTTATTAACTTATTTGATTTTTTAACATGTAAAAATTTATTTTTCATCATTTATAATAATATATTTGACAAAAATTTATATCAATAAGATTAATAATTAACAAACATTAATAAAACAAGATTAAAATGGTAAACTGGTAATAAACAGTTTTTCGTAGGTCAGGAAGGATTAACTCATCAAAAACTGCTTATTACCGGTTTGGCACCGGTATAGCCAGTTTTATTTTTCCTCATCCAAACACCAGCATTTAGTTTATCACCAGTGTCAAACTAAAATAAATCAAAAAACACCTAAAATAAGCAATCTCAAACACCCCTTCAAATCTTCATTTTCTATATTTTAACAAAAATCTAGAGACGCTTTAAAAAACCTAAAAACCCTGTCGCACGGGGACCACGGGTAACCTTATCCTTGCCGAATTCAAGACTCGTTTTTGTCGATTCAAAGCAAGATCCAAATCAAAAATTAATTTCGGGTTTGTGTTACAAGAATCAAACAAAACCAACAACTCACACCGGTAATAAACACTTTTGAGTTTTGAGTGTTCAAATAAACAACTTATATCGGTACAAAACCGGTAATAAGGAGTTTTTAAAGATGTTAAACCCTTCAGACTTGTAATAAGTTGATAAATACTTTTGTAAAAAAACACAAATTGTTTCAAATAAACAATCCCAAGCACCCTAAATCAATGAACAACCCACACATATATGATATTGCATACAAAACAAGCCAACCAAACATCAAGAACAAAAGGTACAACTTCTATAGCACAATGTACAACACACCAATCACAAAATCAAACCCGATTGCTCCCAAAAACACATTAAAAATCAAATCTTTTTGCCATCAAAACCAGCTTTCAAGAACAGTCGAATGAAACTGTACCAAAACCAGCACCATCACGATCAAAGCAGCCACACCCCACGGCGAACTTCCCTCCGCCGCCGGCAGCTGGTAGGCCTGACGGCGGTGGCGCTCCCACGGCGACAGCCCAAACCCGAAAAGCTTCTCTGGGTTCTCCATACTTGATAACCACTTAACTGCAAAGAGTAGAATCAATGGAGTTACTAACAGAAGCCAGTTGAAGCTTTCTTCAGTGGCTTCAATGGCTTCTTCGTATGAAGAGTACCATTGAAATCCAAGAAAGAAGAAGATGAGTGCCAAGATCAGAAGAACTGGATATGGAAGTGGGTTTAGTGAGAAAGCTTCGAGAATGGAGGAATTTGTGTTTCTTGTGTGTGTCATTTCACCTTTTCAGTGTGTGTTTTGAAAGAAAATGGGGAAGGATTGTTTCAGAAGATTTTGGGAAAAGGGTTTTCTCAGTCAGTTGGGGGTTTTACTGATTTTGAGGGATTCTATTGCTGTTGGTCCAGGTGTTGGAAGCTTTTTGGTGAGGTAAGAGTACAACTATTGATGCACAAAGTACAACTGAGTACTGAGTCCATATGTACATGAAAAGTCTAAAATACCCCTTGACCCACATTGGTAAAGTGTTGATGGTCATACATGCCATCATTTTCATGTTGGGGATAGAAAATAATGATGGTTTTGAAGAAACTTGTAGACTAAATTTCCATTATTTTTAGTACTTTCAAATTACCTTTTTTTTAAATAAAATAATTATGATTTTATTATAAATTACTTGTTTTAAATGTATATACAGTTATCATGGTGTTACGTCCATTTCTCTGCGTTGCTTCTTGGTGTAGCTCTTGTCATATTTCCTATGTTCTCGGACAGTTGCTTATATTGTTACGGGGTTTGGTTTTGTCTTGTACTCATTTGCTGTTTGGTTCAGTGACATTTTAGGGTTGCATCAGCCTAATGAATATCTGGAACATGGGATCTTAGAGTTGCTGATGTTTTATTGTTGCTGCTGACGTTTTCTTGCCTTCAGTTATACTTATTGTTTTGACCGCAAAGCACTTGCTTATCTCAACTAACAAGGAAATCAAACAAGTCCCGTTCTTTTTCATTGTTTTGCTATCGGTAATATCAGAAGTGTGTGTTTTGTTGTCTCTCGAATTGATTAATTTGAACTCAGAAACTGTGTTAATCGATAGAGAATTAAGAAAATAATATCCATAAGTACTAATCATTTTCTTCTTTCGCTCAATTTATTATGGGGTTCCATTGTTTCATCGGTAGTTTTTTTTTTGCAGTTTGTGGTGCAAACAACTTGGATCTAATCAATCTATGATTAGGCATAATCATAAATGGATTAGATCCAAGAGATCTTCACCACAAACCCAAAAAACCGAATCGATGAAACATTGAACCACAATAAGAGATTGAGCGGAAAAACGATTTCATTATGGGCGTTATTTTCTAACACAATGTGAGTTCAAATAACTCAAACCGAAAAACAACAAACACAACGTCTATTATCCCCGATAATAACAAAAAGGACAAGAATATGGCTTATCTGATAAGCTTGTTGGTCGAGACAAGTAGGTGCTTTTGATGAAAACAAGAAGTATAATCGGACACAAGAAAACATCAACAACAAGAAAAACAAAATCAACTCGAAAACCCCATATTCTAAAAATTCGTTAGGCTAATCCAACCCTAAAACGTCATTGAACCAAACAACAAATCAGTACAAGCCAAAACTAATGCACCCCAACCATATAAGCAACCAAACAACAGATCAATACAAGCCAAAACTAATGGTCATTTGGGGTGTTTAAAAACCCGATCAACCCTACCCAACCCAATGCGAAATAACTCAAACCGAAGCAACCTGATGTCTAATCGAGTTGTAAAAATTTCAAACCGTAGGTATTGAGTTGATATTGAGTTACTGTTATTTGAACCCAACCCGAAGAACCTGATATCTATTTATTTTTTGGATTTAGTATGATTGTTGAATTTCTATTAATATATACACTAGATAATTACACTATCACGTACGTTATTCATATACACATCTTTTCAATCTATTCATATCTCTATATAATTCATTCGTATATATGTTCAGTAACTGTAAATATATATACGTAAATTGAGAAAATTAACTGAATGTGATATAAGTAAAAAATATGAATAAGTTATATCAAATGGTTGATGAAAAATAAATTGTAAGTAGAGAAATAACATATTCAAGGTTAGAAAAATATTTTAATGTATCAAAATTTCAACACGACTAACCCGTACATGTTGATTTGGGTTGGGTTTTTCCAAACCGCAAACATTAAGTTGGACCGTTGGATTGTTCAAATGTCTTCGACTCGATCAACTCAACCCAGAACAAAGGTAGTTTGCATATTTAAATCAAGGGTAGTGTTGTCATTTTGACATATTCCTTTTAAGATAACATTTTAAAAACATGCAACCACACTCCCTTTCTCTTATCGGTGAACTACCGGCCCCATCCCCAACCCTTTTCTTCTCCGGCCACATTTCCGGCCAAACAGAAATCCATACATAGAGAATAAGCCAATCAATCTGCAAACGAAACCCTAAACCAGATTCGGAAACCAATCTACACACAGAACTCATGTAAACCGAGGTTAGTGGAACCCATATACAATATGTAGACCTAACCCTAAAACAGATTCGAAAACCACAAGAAGAAGGAACCAGATCCGAAGAGAGGGGAGAGGGGTCTTGGGATGGGTTCGCCGGCAAAAACGGCTTATCCCACAGGTCGATGGGTTTTTTTTGCAGGGACGATGGGTTTTTTTTGCAGGGAAGACGAGCGACGGAAAAGAGGGGGAGACCGAAGGGGTAGGATGATGTGCGGTGGTAAACGATGATGTTGCGGTGGTCCAAATCGTCGGAAAACGAACAGAACCAGGGGATTCATCGCCGTAGAAGGAATCGCCGGCGGGCGTAGGGCTTGTGGGAAAATAAAAGACTCAAGGGTCGGGGAGGGTGATTTTTGCGGTGGGGTTATTATTTATAGATGAGTAACTTACAAATACGTCCCTAATGTTTCATCTCAATTACGAAAAAGGTCCCTCAACCCTAAAATTTGGTTTTCATGGTTTTAGTTTTGTTAGATAAGGGCTAGAGCTCTTCATTGGCGGAATGACCCGCTAGACTCGTTATGTCCGGCTCGTTAGAAAACCGGACTTGATTTGTCATTCTCGAAAAAATTGACGGGTATGGACTGATTTGTTAAAATTAATGGATAGACATGTGCAATGGAAAAAAAATATTTGGACAGGTCCGCTAGACCCATTAATATTTTTATAACTACAAGGGTACTCGTGCAATGAATCGAGACATATTTTGATTTCAGTGTTTCGTTTTATTCCTTTTTTATGTTGATATAATAAGGTTTTAGTTGGTTTTGAGAAATCGATAATGTTTTTATTTTTAAATAAAATATAAATTTGAAAGTGTCATAAAATTTTGAAAAAAAAATATATTGATATCAGTATCAAATTAATCTTTTTAAAAGTTCTTGTGTTTTGATATAATTTACTTAATTCAATTTTTTTAATTATAATTTAATTTAGGTTAGTAACAAAGAAATTTAATTTAGATTTACTAATATTTTTTATTAAGATAATAACTAAATATTATGTTAAAACTCAATGATTATTCTAATTATATTTTAGATTTTTTATATTTAACATGGGATGCTTATCCATTATTTGATTATATTTATCTGCATTTAGTTACACGAATTCAAATATGGAGCTYTAATAAGTTGTACTTATGCACAATTTACTTATAATCTTAAATTTTAAGTAATATGAATCAATAAACAGTACTTCGTGCATACAAAATTGTTTTTAAAAGTTTTTGTCAAATGTTTTATAATATAGTATAGATACAGATAATTAACTTTTATAATAAAAAATTTACAAATAAAATTGAAATTTCTTAACACTTATCAATTTCTACTTAATTATGACTCATGATAATAATATTATTTAAAAATCTTAAATTTGAAAATATAATTATCTCAGTTCCTTATTATCTGATTTATTTTCTTTATCGATACTTCATATATTGCAAAACAATTTCTTTCTAAAGTATATATATTGTTATGTATTTACGTCAAATTTTAAGTTGAAAAAATTGTTATGTGTTTTGAATTGTTTTACATAACTTGTGATTTTATATAAGTTTTGTTTTCGTAAAAGTATAACAAAACTGTTAAGCCCGTTAGCCCATGGGTAAACCCGGGTCGTTTATAGGGCGGGTATGAGTAAGTTTTCAAGCCCGTTAGTTTTACCATATTAGACTCGTTAGATAAAAAAATAGGTCAAGTCCGGCCCAAGTCTGGTCCAAACAATGATCAGCTCTAACCAGGAGGTTGTTGCCGGAGAAATGGGAAGGGGTTTGGTGGGAGAAAGAAGGATGTAGTCAATGGTGTTGTTCCGGTGAAACAGAGGGGCGGCGATGGTGGTTTGGAGGAGGTGAAAGGATTTGGAGGCGGGGTGGTCCCAATTTTGCAAGAAATATGTTTTTTTTAATATTATATCATTTTTAAAATGGTTAAATATTTTTTAATATATATTATATCAATTTATTTATTTATTTTACAGAAAATTTAAAAAAAAATAGGTAGAAAGACAAAAAGAATACATGGCAGCTCAAACAGCAGCACATTAGACGGAGTTAATGAGAACACATCTGATTTACGAAAATATAATAACATTTCTATGCCTCCAAATATTAACTAACACATAATAAAAATGAGAATAAATGAAAATTAATTCATATTTATCTACAACTTTTCGTTAACCTAGAAGAGAAAAATGATGTTATAAAAAGAGGGATATGAAAAGAATTTCTAATGTTGTTTTTTGGATGATGAAGTTTGAAGTTGATCCTTTTAGTTTTATAAAAAACTAAGAGAACACTTTAAGTTTTAAAATTTATAAGAGAAAGACTCTAAAATTTCAATGGATGAGCTTGTTTCGAGCTTAATTCGAGTTCAACTTCAAGCTTGATTTGAGTTATTGTTCGAGCTTGAAAAATAGTTATCGAGTTCGAGTTGAGCTTCAAATCCAAAGAGGAATAAAAATCCCCTTGTGGCCACGGAGGATCAAATGCTGTGACTCCGAGCTATCTGCGATGCAGGTGGTCGCCTTGGGATTAGTCGGCTCGCATAGCGGGTTAGATATTCAGGTTAATCAAATAGAAAAAAGATACATCACAACACCAACATAACAAACATAAGAAAAACTACATTCTTTCGACACCTTTTTTAAAAGACATACATAAATAAATAACCCTGTATCGACCTAGAGACCGCGTGTTTTTTGTGTTAAAAAGGAAAAGGAAGACAAAAAATGTTGAAAAAAGGACAGATACTGTTCCAAATGGCAAAAGGGAAAAAGGGTCTTACATTTAATATCAGAGTTTTCACTCGTCTGCAGAGGCGGAAGTGTGAGCTGGGTATTTTTTCAAGATATCGGTCCATGTGCTCCGCCCCTCGGAGACATCCTTCACCACGGCGGCTACCTCCTCTACACTCACACGGATTTGATCCTTGCTATCCCTTTCACGAATTGTCACTGATGATGTTGAATCCACGGTGACAGCAAATGGTACGCCTAGTTCATCTGTTCTTGCATATCGTTTCCCTATTGATGTACCTATAGATGGACGTGTAACCGATTAGATTTTCATTCTTCGGACAATTAAACTCGTTTTCACATTCTACCTTCTTCTATTTGATTAAAAAAGGAGTTCCTATTGATTCTTAAGGTGAAACGGGCCAAGTTTTTCAATAAGCTCAAAAAATAAGCTAGCTTATGCTTTCCTTGGTGTTAGAATTTCACAAAACATCATGCAAAATTTTGCATATAAACGGACTAGATGAGCATATTAATGGCGTACCTGTAATATCTTTCTTATTTGAAATTCCGGCTGCAGTCAGAGATCTGGAGATATGTTTAGCAACTTCCTCGTATTGCTGATTCTGAACCAACGGGAAAACGGTGCATTTGATGGGGGCCACAAGAGGGGGAAAACGGAAAACGTTCAGCTGTTCATCCCCAGCTTTGCTTGGCCTCATGTAGAAAGAATGCTCATAGAGACAATAGATGATCCGTCCAATACCAAATGAAGGTTCGATCACAGAGGGCGTAAAAACTCTCTGGTGTTCTTTCTTCTTTTCCTTTGATATTGAAACCATGTTTTTCTTTATAGTAACCGTCTTCTGAAGAGTGCAAACTTCAAACTCTACCTCCCCTTTCGACTCTAGAGTGGCCTTCATGTCCATCGCCTCTTTTTCATTCATTGCCTAAGAAACGCAAATGAAAATTAAATCCTAGCTTAGCTAATAAGATTCAAAATAAAATAAAAATCCTATATGTGATTAGGAGCATTCATATTTGATAGCTGCTATCCTACTTTATCCATGAAAACCACTTCTTTTTTATTTTAAGATGTTCCATAAAGAATGCTACGCTTTATCATTAGAGAGTTTCCAGATGGTATTGATCAACAATTCGACATTTGATGGAACGTCCTCAAAGCTAATCTAATATTAATCATCCAAATTTTCAAGCACTTAAAATATATTCTATTACAGATTGATACAGTTTACTTGTATATAATTATATAAATCTAGCATATGATAAGTAGGAAAGGTTAAGGTTAACCAAAAAATGGAACAATCTGAACTTTTAAGTAAGATACCTAGGATTTTAAAGAGATAAGGTGTCTAAAAGGGCATTCGAAGTGAACTAATTCAAACTTAAGAAGGATCAAAACAAAATCTGCACATTGCAGGCATTGCTGGAGAAGAAAGTGATGCTTACCAACTAAGAGGAATCAAGGGTTGAAAGTAGGGAGAAGCCTCATGCAAATAACAACTTATGCAAGTATCAGGAAAAATGTATTAAGGTATTAGTATGCTATGTCAGAAGTATACATATATATATATATATATATATATATATATATTGAAATGTACTCGCCTTCTAGGAAACTGATAATTTTGAAAAATGATGATTCAACAAGAAATGTTGTTTGCTTAAATACTAAACGAAGTTGTTTGATGGTTAGTAGACTTGCTAAACACTGGGGTGCTTCATTTTGACAAATAGTTAACCTTTTCATTCAACTACATAAGAAACAAAATTATGCAATTTTCATGGGATAACGAACATCATAAAAAACATTACAGCAGATAATGCAAGTGATACTGAAAATATCAACGACCGTGACTGCCACTAACAATCTGTGTGACTGATATTTCAGTTCCACATTAATTCTACAAAACATGATGTTAGAGAAATTGCTTTACCTCCAGCGCTTCAACCACCATCTTTTGGTTACCCTTGAATGCAAGGCCAAGCTCCTTCTTAACGGGTGTTATAACCAGTTTCTGGGAAGGAAACCAATAGTTAGCAGTACACATAAATTATAAACTTGAACATTAACTTCACAAATAGAACAGTACCTCCACTTCCTTGGGTTCCGCGAATTTCTCTTGAGCTACGAGAGCTACTCCACTTTTATCCTATAATCATATGGAGTAGGAACATCGTAAATAGCATGGTAAAATCTCAATTCTTCAGCAAGTGTAAAGTTGATAAATACTGTATCTCCTTCTAAAGATCTTCGTAATTGGTCAATGCATGTATAAATGGTTGTATAACGGCATGCCATTAACTAAATAAACTTAACATGCAAATAATCCACATCGGTGACAAAATTAGGAAGGCAACAACATGAAAATCACTCACTATGAATGTAGAAGTTCACTACGAATGTTAATAAAAACGTACCGTGTGTGCACGCAGATCATATGCAGATCTATCAGCAATCCCTACGCACTCAATCCAACCATAAGAAGACTCAATTTCAGCATCCCAACAGTCTGCGGCATAGTGAGCCATCTCATTTGGGAGATGCTGTCTGAAGCGCAATCGTTCTTCATCTATTCCCAGCCGTGTCAAAAACAGATATACTCTCCCAATGAAGTATGCAAGTGTTTGATTATTAACAATCCCCTAGAGAAAAATCGTGTTTAATAGCTACAAATAATGTGTTTTTAGTTGATATATGCATAGAAAATAATCTCTAATAAAAACTAACCCTAGAAACTGCATCTCCAAGACAAAGCCTTTTCGCAGACTGCCCTGACATCTGTTCATCCCTTGGAAACATGAGAAACTTTAAGTTTGCAACTTCAGAATACTTTGGATGTGATTTGTCATCAGGATCCACGAAGTGCTCTATCTCTGCAAGTGTGAATTCACGGACTCTTAGAAGACCTTGTCGAGGAGATATCTGAAAAAAAGAGAAACAGATGTCAATTCTAGACACCAACACCTATTGACAAATTGACAAGCTTGCTATGTACTGAATGAATGATGTAAAGTGAAAGCAAGATAGAGCAATCAAATAATATTGCAGATTTGCATAAGTGAGGAAAATGATGCAATCTAGAGAAGCATCAACTTCCAAATAAATAATTTATAAAACATACATAGAGCATGACTGAAACGCACTGGATTGCAATCTCAAATTTTCAAGAAAGCACATGACCTCATTTCTGAAAGCTTGACCAATTTGAGCAGCTGCAAATGGGAGCTTGTTCCCATTGTAATAATATAGGTCTTTGAAGTTGACAAATATGCCTTGTGCTGTTTCAGGGCGCATGTACCTGGAAGATGTTAAATGAAAAGAGTTGCAAACTGATGAAAAAATATAAAAAAATGTACGATCAATATCAATTAATTCTGATGAAGCAAAGGAAACATATCCGAGATTATACGGCGCGCCTTATTATATTAGATCTTCTCATAAAATATATAGTAGATCATTGTAAGAAATATTACCCAAAGCATCTAAGATTATATGGTGCACCTTATCATATTATATTTTCTCATAAGATATATGGTAGATCATTGTAAGACATGTTACTGACCCTGCGCTCAAGCCAGAGGGACCAATTGAAGTCTGAAACATAAGATTGAACGGGTAAGGATCTGAGAGAGGATTCTTAGTGTCTGGTGCTGTTATACCATATTCCTTAATCTTGGCACCAAGTTCTTCAGCTGAAAGATCATCCAGGACCGCAAGAATATGTTTCAGTTCAGCAGCTTTCTCAGTGCTTATACCCAGGTCCTTCTCAAGCTTATCCTTACAATGATCCTTAAGCAGGTGATCGGCTCGGTAGCAAGTTCCAGTCTTCTCATCTTTAACCATAAGGTCAGTAAACTTATCAACGTGACCAGAAGCTTTCAGAACAACCTCAGGGGTGACACAAGGACAATCAACTTCTAGCATATCCTCCTCCAAAACAAAATGCTGAAAAAAAATTAAGCCAAAATATTAGAATCCCATTCATGACGTATTTTTTAAACCCATAAGCATAAAAAGGTAAAGTGCAAATCTGAAAAATTTATCCAATCTATGAAGGGCTGACCATGTCTAATCTCTCCTATGCAATATTCCCAACTATTAGCTCAGAACATACCCGAGGCCCATGACGCAAGATGTGGATCCAATCTAGATCCAATAGAGTCAACCTGATCAAGGGGTGCAGGTCAGAGCTAGAAGCCAAGGAGAAAAAGCTGTACACCCTATCCTAAAGGGTCCATGCTCTATCAGCTGAGAGCCATGCCCTCATACCTCTGTCAAGATAAAAGGTCAATGAGTTCCTGTGCTCACCAACGCACATTTGCCTAGAAAGAGAGACGGCATGGATATCCTCATACGAACAGTCACAGTACTCATTCCTGGAACCCATTCACACAACCCATACAGAAAAGAGGTATTGCAAACCATCATAAATACGTCTCTTACATTCACACATCACACTCTGTCTCCCCTCTCAAAATCATAGACAAGACATTACAGCCTCCCACCAATGACTTATGCTGATGCCAGAGGTACATTGAAAAAGCACTGCACACTGGTACCTAGATCACATCTCCAAAAGCATTCTTCCATCGAAAGAACAAAGTATGCCCAAAAAGTTGCAGAACTAAAAGTTGACCATGTCTAATCTCTTTATCCTAGTTTGAAATCTCCAATTTTCAGGGTAGAATAACATAAAAGGCAGTACATAGTACGTACGCCAGCAATATGCACGTTAGACCTGACTGTGAATTCGAAGTCAAGAATAAACAGCCACACCATGTCCAGTCAGCTGGAAAAAAGGAGCACATCCTCATAGCACCTATCTTAAAACAAGGTCAATGGGGAAGTCCAAACTCGCCAACTCTCAATTACGAGACAAGAGAAAACAAGGGTGTCTCCCCATATGAATGGTCATATCAGCATACATTCTTGACACCCAATCACCCAGCCCGTTACCATTGCCTATATAAAGGTAGGGATGGTAATGGGGCGGGGATGGGGCGGGGACCCCAATACCCATCCCCGTCCCCGATCCTCGTATGTGTCCCCGTCCCCGTCCCCGCCGGGGATTATGATCACATCCCCATCCCCGTCCCCAACGGGGAAACGGGGATTTTTTTTAAAAACCAAAAATTATAAAACATCACTATTTATTGAAATACACTAATATTAAAATAAGACTTAAACAAGACCAAAAGTTTAAACTAATATTATCAAAGTTAACGTCAAACATACTAAAACTACATCGAGTAATATCCGAAAGAACCAAAACATATCAAGTAAATTTCCATACTATCTACCATTTGCCATTTGCCTAATAACATCAAGAAGAATATTGAATATTGAATCTGTAAGGTAAAAGCATCAAAGYCAAAAATATTGAATATTGAATCCGTAAGGTAAAAGCATCCGTAAGGTAAAAGCAGCAAAAAAACCATTAATTAGAATCTAGAATAAACTTATGAACTGGTCTACACTGACCTCATTAGTCATTAAAGCTCCTTTCATTTGATTTGGTTTCAATCATCATATAGTCAAAAATAACATTTTAAAGAATCAAGCATTTCTCGTAGCAGCCGACAAATAGCAATCATCTTCTCAGATTCAAAATAAAAAACAGCAGTTCCCATTAGGTCAAGAAGAATATTGAATATTGAATCTGTAAGGGAGTTATAGTCATCTAGATAAATGAGCAAAGTCTACATTCACAGCTTTAAAACTACATTCAAGCAATACGCAATCGCTCTCTCAAAAAGTAGGCATATCCTCCCACTAATAACTAATTTTCACGCAAGAGACAAATTGGACGAATACTGCATCTGCATCTGCATCATTAAGCCGTTTGTAGGTCTATCTTGGAAAACCAACAACCAGAAAAGAACCAAACACCTCAACAACAAATCATCCATCATCATCTCCAACATTCCAACTCTGCTGTGGTTTAGTATCAGGTTTCTTTACACCAGACTGAGTAAAATCTCCGATATTGTATTTTGATGGTATTGTATCTTTGCTTTAACTAAATGAATATGATCTTCGATACTTACAAACAAATACATTCTATAAGTCTACAGCTAATCTTTTGTCAAATAGACAATCTTCTTAAAGACTCTTGATAGCAAATGCATTTAAAAGATATGGAATCTATATATCCTTTCTTCATCCAAATACTCCATTCATGAAGTATCAATAATCAATAACAAAAAAATACATGTTTAAGGCTCTTCTTCAACAGTAAAAAGTGTGTGCTTCAAATGATTTATCGTTCATTTCAAAACTGATTCTGATTATCCTAGCTGTAAATATATTACACATCAGTAGAAGAAAACAATAGACTAATGTAACAGAAAAGTTTTTTGAACTAGAAAACAAAAACACCCGAGCTGTATAGATATTACAGATCAGTGGACTAAAACAAAAGACGAATGTGGCCAAAAAATTATACTAGAAAAAAGCACCAGTTTTTTTGAACTTGAAAACAAAAACACCCATGTTCAGATTGGATTCCGTCCAGATGTGAACCAGAGAGGAATACCTAAATAGCAACATTAGTGACAAATTAAGCTATGTTTGGAATCCAATCCGCTCCTTCCCCCAAAGTGCTACATTACGATTCATGGAGTCAAAACCAAAAACTCACATGAGAAATTAAGAGAATCCATTTCACATTTCGTGTGAAACTAAAGTTGAAATATATAATAGAAAGAAAAAAAAATCAAAGAAGTTCAAAATCCATATCCATTTTGAAGTTGAAAAGTAGCTGGTTGACATCAAAGTTAAATTATATTTTCAAAATGAATGGCATTTACACATCACAATTTGCATTCTATTAGAAACTTGGGTATAGAGTATAGATATTGATGCTAGTATATAGATCGTGAACAGAATCACTGTCCCTTAGTAAAATTTCGACCCTGTTTCAATCTACGGGTATCGCAAAATTTACTCAGATATCATCCAAATACACAATCAATATTTGATAGCAAATCGAGAGCAATAACACACAAATGTTGTTGGCTTTTTGTATGTTAAAATGAGATCAAAAACTACTTAAGTAGGTACTTGCTAGCCAGGTAATCTGGGTTGGTCAAGTAGTTATTTGAAGATTAGAACATATTGAAAAAGATCAATAAAGGATATTGCACCAGAAGGCTACACCCTTGCCTACTCAATCCAAGCCCCACATTTTGAAGTAAAGTTTAGAAGATTTCTTATGCATATAAGTTCAGAAGGCTACATGCATTTCTGAATAAAAGTTTAGAAAGCAGCTCAAGCCTTCTGACTTCAAACAATGCCTACCGCTGGCATGGCAACGCCACTAGAACCTCGCCTGGTGGCATGGACAGGATCACCGTAGCGGTAGCTTATGGCACACTCCTCACCTCCTAACTCACATTATAACTTAACCAATCTTATGTAAATCCCAGCTACAGAAAAATGCTTGATGACACTACAATCACCAAATCAAAGGCTATTTTAGCGGAGAAGGGGTGAAGTACGTAATGTAGCGTATAATTTTTGTCCGAAATTATTATAATTCATATAGAAATGGCCATACCTGACGCCAGAAAGCGAGGACGTTAGACTTGATGGCGCAACCAGGAGGACCGTAATCATACAAACCAGCAACACCTCTATAAATCTTAAACGACGGAATGAAAAACAACCGGCGTTCAAGAGTATTAACAACGGCCTGCCGAAACGCATCCCTGCTAACAACAGAGCCATTAGCATCACCAGAAATGGAAGCTCTGAGTTGATTCTCGATCGATGTCTTCTCAAGTTTCAAAGCATTGAGTGCTCTAACGGCATCATCTATCTCCGACTTCGATGCGCCCGAAGTCTTCAATTGACGTATGGCGTTGCCGCTAGCGTCGATGGTGGATTGTTTGTCGGCAAGAGCTTGTCGGAGTGAATCCTCAGTGGTGGCCATCGGTATGATGAAGCCGGCCGGTCGTTGAGAAGAAAGCGTGTGGCGGAATCGGAGGAGGATACGGTGGAGAGAGTAAGACGATAACACAGCGGGATTTGAACGCATGCGTTCCGATCAATGACCCCACCACCGGAGGTGTGGAGGCCATTAGGGTTTTAGACTTTTGGGCTTTAGTTGGGCTTTGGTGTAGTCCACTTAAAAAGATTCTATGAGTAAACTTTATCTTTGGAGTAAATTACATATATGCCCTTGTGGCTATATGAAAATTAGGGATTGGGTCTTCATTTTTTTCGTTGGTTATTTGAGGTCTCGTTATCGTTATGAATTCGGTCCTTAACATTCGTTAAGAAAGTTTAGTTAACTTTAGGGGTATTTTGGTCTTTTTCTTTATTTTCCTTGGAGGGGACGGTGATGGTCATGTAGTATATTTGTGGAAGGGGAAAGGGTTTCGTCAGCAGAGGACATCATTCTTTGAGGATGCGTTCCTTGATGATCGGGATGTATGTATATCTATATTATATATAATAAATAATAGATGATAGATAAATGTTATGTTAGTATATAAATATATAAGTTATAATATTTTATATCTTTTAAAGTGAAATTTTTTAAAAAATACCTCTGAGTTAACGAAACTTTTTAACAGTGTTAATGGTAGAGACGTAAGTCGTGGTTTTCATGCAACCTCTCTCTCTCTCTCAAGCGTGGTTTTTCTACCACCTCTCCTTTCTGTTCCACGAACAATCGAAAATCTGACAAAAGACGGTTTTTCTGCAACCTCATGAGACAGGGTTATAACCTGCAATTTCTCTCTATCATGACGATAATCGAAGGTTAGAATCTACATGACGATGATCGAAGGTTAGAATCTCCTGGAGCTCCTTATACCGAGTCTTTTAGGTTTTTGCCAAAGGCTACCAAAAGATTGTCTACAAGGCAACGTTCTTGGAGAACCTGGAAGACATTTTGATTTCCGTGTTTATTTTTTATTTTTTAGAACATTTCTCTATCTAAACTTGTATAAAACTTAAAACGATTTTTTCAACCAAGATCAAATATAGCTAGTTTTCCGCGAAATCTATTCTGATGAGCATAGAGGTTATAACCTGCAACCTCCGACCATGGAATGTGATTTGATCTCTCTCTCTCTCTCTCTCTCTCTCTATATATATATATATATATATCACTAAAAAACAGAGGGAGCAAATAATAAAAAAAAGTACTCAAGATTCTATCATGAAAAATGTTAGTCCGTGAGGAATAAAAATCTGTTGTCCCCTTCATGTCCTACCAATTATCTGAAAATACATCATTATTTTAATGATTATAAATTTATTTATTTTATATTTTTATCATCTCTCCGCAATAAATGGATGATGTATTTCACATAATTGGTGGAGAAGAGAATTTTGGAACAACATATTTTTATTTGTCATCGTATGCATTTGGTATGCAGGAAATAACAAAAACATAATAAAACAAGTATCCATTATCTCATGTTTGGTATGACATTATATTGGGGAATACGACGAGAATGAAAGAAACAAAAAATGCATCTGGGTTCTATGAAAGCTGTCATCCATGTATAAAAATCAGATGAACTTTTTTTCTAGGAGAACAATGTCTCGTTAATAAAGGGACGTTCATATTAAGTTACTCTAGGGATAACAGGTTGATCTTCTCCAAGGGTTCACATCGACGGGAAGGTTTGGCAGGGACTGGATCGGAAAAAGAGGGGTTGTAGTTGTAAGACATCTAATGAAACCGTCCCTAGAGGAAGAATGAAGAGAATATCTTCTCGAGGTAATCATATTAGTCTCCCGAGAGGCCACAATTGCCGCGAGAATTCATATTAATGACAAGAAACGCTGTCCGAAATGAATTTCTAGAATCGCGGATTTATCGACATCAAGTTCGTGATATGAATATACCACATCAATTTGTTACGTATGGATGATGAGATTTCATTTTCATCATTCTATACTTTATTTACATGTAATAAAATATCTCAAGGTCTGTGGTTCAAGTCCAGGATGACCCAACTGCGCCAAGCGGCCAAGGAATGGACAATGGTCGTGGATTAGAAAACGTTCCAATACCTCTGATGTTAGACACCAAGTTAGAAAGTTATTTCCTTCTGTTTGAAGTTCATTGATACTGAGTTGATGCATACTGAGAGGAACGCACAAACATATGTTTTCATAAATTCGATCATGGCTTGTAATTATAGCTTCTGTTATTTTTGCAAGGGTTCAAATCAAGATTTCTTCAGCACCCTGTAACAAATCATACTTAAATAGATTCGAAACACCAGAGAAATGTTGTATCAGACTGCTTGTCTTTTTAATTGGATCTCCAAGTTCTAGAAATGCACCAAATTCTTGGCCAATCAGCAAAAATATATCTAAACAAGGTTCAAACATCATGCAAAATGCATCCGGAAGAATCAAACGTGTACGAACAATCCATTTGAGTAACTACGATCAGTAGACTGAGTAACTAGAAATTGGTCATATGTTTTTAACAATCGTACTCCACTTTTCATTACAAACAAACCATTCATCATGAGGATTTAGAATAGGGGTGTTGACGATACGAGCTTTTAACGAACTACTTCTGTTCAAGCTTCTTTATCTCAAGCTCGAGTTTGATGATTCTTGAGTGTGAACACAAAATAAATATCATTTAACTTAAAGAGTCGAGCTCCATAACACCAATGCTCAACTCGGCTCGTTTGAAAAATCAATTAACTTAAAGAGTGGAGCTTCATAACACCAAGTTCAGACTTTTTTGGCTCGTTTGGCTCATTTAACACTCCTATCCTCGGGCACGGTGGGTGGGGCAGGAATTGAACCCGACACCTTTTTCTGGAAAGTACACCCCTTTCCACAAGGACAATTCAATGAGGAGTCGAGGACAAGGAACTAAAAAGGTAGACGCCACCCTCTGGAGCATCCCCACTGCACGGTCCTACGGTCATCATAGGGGCGGTAAATTAGCGCATGCATCCCATTGGCAGATAACGCTCTCCATGTTCATGTTTCTATGGTTTCCTCACTATTTGATCATATCCCATACAAACAAACATTTCATAAATTTAAAACAATTGTCAACCTATATATTTATAAAAATTGATTCATGTATGTTTAACAACATTACATTATCTGTATCATGTCAATACCAAATGTAATGAAACAAACCCAATTGGAACCCTAAAAACCCCGTTTGACGAATAGAACCACAAGAATGTCTTAAAATGACAGATTAACATATAAAATTCACTTAAATTGAATGATTCTTGTAACATTACAACAGGGCTAAAGGTTAAAACGTATGTAATTGGGTATGTGTATTCAGCTCCATAAATTTGGACCCTATGCTATATCTCACGTTGGAACACCCTCTTGTCACATCCTGATATACGAGGGTTTTTTTTGTTGTTGGAGGGGGAGGGGGTTGTTAACGTGGCCTATGGGTAAAAACCCGTTTGACAATCGGTCTTCTGTTGCCTAACATAACAATCTACAATCCGGTTGGGTTTCAAGAAGATTAATAGATGCAGCTACAGTCATTGGATGTCTAATAGATATCATTTGTGTAATCTTACCATATAAAGTAATGCAAATCGACTTACCGAGAAGAAAACATCCAGAAGCATCCGGTTACACTTTTCCTTCGTACTGGAAATTCAATTTGTAATCGTGTTGTAGATTTGCCAAAGTGTTTCTGCATGGACCCTCTGAAAAATGAAGATGACAAGTGAAGGGTTATGAACCGTGTTTATTGGAATGAGCATCATCACCAACTAAAATTCTCTATTCATGCCAAAAAAAGGTCCACTTTTGATTTTGAAACTTCAATTTCTTTTCATGTTTTAAATTGAAATGTTGTTGCTACATAGAACCCTCGAAAGAATTCCAATTTTGAGGATCGATGAGAAATCTTTTTAACCCTTTAATCAACAGGAATTATGCATGAATATGAAATTTAACATCTATAAACATCCAAAAATTCTGTGCAATTTCACAAGTAGGTTTGTTTTTGACTTTTAGGGAAGAAAAGAGTAGTATCTTGAGACATTGTCATTAGTTCAATACGGTGATCAAACATATTTGCTATAAGCAAACATTCTTTTCCTAATTAAAATGTTAGAAAGTACTCCACACTTTCCTTTAGTGAGTGTATTTTGACTTCAAAATATGAAACAAGCTGTTTCAATTCTTAAATTGGCATAAACATATTTAATTTTGGAAAAAAATATCAATAATTAGTTAATTACGTTAAAATTTACTAAAAACGGTGTTCACACTTAAATATATATATACACACACACACAAATAGCTATAGATTTTCGAAGTACAAGTTTGATGTCAAAAATCAAGGTTGAGAACTAATAGAGAATGAAGGAAGTAATCCATTTGACAGAGTTAGATGTGGATTTTTTGCGGCACATTGTATCATTAAAATAAGATGGTATATCGAGAGATTAATTACCTCCTAAAACGGTATGGATATACTGCAGATCATCTGGTGAGCAAGCATCTACCAAAGCATAAACACCTGGTCTCAAAGCTTCATCGACTTCCCTATAATAAAAAAATTCATCAAGGTTTAGTCAAAAAACTATTCTAGGGTGTGTGCATAATCAGTTCAAAAAAACGAACACAAACTGGTTCAGACTGAAGAAGGATGGCTTTAGCCAGTTTTCCTATCGACATATATATCAGGTCTTAGTGGGATCTGAGTGGCATTCTGAGTTGTGTAGAGGTTCCAGTAGGATGGCTTTAGCCGGTTTTGAAGAAGCAGATTTGATGTTGTAGTAACACCCGACCTATTCTAATTCTATTTGGGAACTAGATAGTCCAGTTTAGAACTCTGATACTTATCTAGTCCTTCTTTATATGTATACTCTATATATTTCTGTATTAAAGTGATTTTAAATTGAAGAAGTTTGGAAGTTTTAAATTTTCTGCTATTTTCATTTTTAGGGGTGTTATAGTTAATGATAGAGGCAAACCTTCTCCCTCTCCTTCCATCTCATCAACTCTTAAATATTTGCCCATCATAATCAAGGGTAGGGTTGGAAATTTAATACTTCCTCCATCCTAAAATAAATGTCCATGTTTCTATTTATGTTTGTCCCAAATAGGTGTCCACTTAAAAAAATGGATAACTAAATTTCCAAATCTACCTTTGATTAATGCACAAATATTTAAGAGTTGATAAGATAGATACACTAATTAAGGGTAAAGTTGTCATTTGGTTAACTAAAAAGTGTAGTAATGATATTAATATCTAAACCTGTGTGCCATTTCTATTGTGGACATTTATTTAGGGACTAGTGTTAGAAAGGAGGGCATACAAGACGGTATATTTGAATGTTGTGTGCATATGTATGTTTCTACCATCACGTTCTAGGAAGCACGTACACTTCTTAACTGACATTTTCCAGACAGGCTCTCGGTTCTAATATTTCCAATTTATGATTAGGTCCTGTTATGGACCAATAGAAGTAGAGACCACACAAATGCTAGTGATGCTGTAATAAGAAAATCTGAAACCAAGATTACAAAACTCACCTCTTGATGCCAACTTTCAGGGGACCACATCCTGAATACACCACTATGTAACTGGATAAAAACAGGCGACAATACTGACCAAGAACATCTTTTTGTTGTCGTATCTGCAATAAAACTTCAATCTTCAGAAAGATCTTTGAATTTACGAGGAATTCTAAAATTTGTAGATAACCACAGAGAAGCAATCATAACCTTAAGTGGTAAACTATTAGATTCTCCATTCAACATATTAAAAAAAAGAAGAGCAAATTGCATGAAAATGTCACGTACTTTGTCTTGATTCCTATTTTAGGTAACGTACTTTCAAAACCTTCATTTTGATATCTAAGATGTGAAGTTTCAACATTTACCTGGGTAATCGGTTTAAACATTAACCGGTTACCAATGATAATTTGACATCCAACTCAATATTATTTTCTGACATGGCTAGTGGCATGGACTTTTTTTCATCTAAAATTAGTTTTAAATTTGTTTATGTTATTAGAATTTACATATTATAACTATTTGTATATTATATAATATACAAATAGTTATAATATATAAATTCTAATAAAATAAATAAATTTTAAAACTGATTTTAAATTTATAAAAATCCATGTCACTAGCCATGTCAACAAATAATATTGAGTTGGATGTCACATCACTCGCCATGTCAGCATTGGTAACCGCCTAACCAGTTAATGCTTAAACCGGTCACCCAAGTACTTAAATGTTTGGAACTTCACATGTTAGGTACCAAAACATGAGTTATGAAAGTGCGTTACCGAAAATAGAATCAAGGCAAAGTACGTAACCTTTTCATACAATTTGCCCAAAAAAGAACTACGTTTTGAACTGCAAATGAGTATTTACCAAGGATTGGGAAAATATAAATGACTTTAAACCAATCTCATGAAATTTGCTAAATACTTGAAGATCTAGAAAAGTTCTTGGTGAATTGGGTAGTACCAACGAAAAACAAACCTCTTCATAAATTCTTCGAAGAAAAGCACCACATTTTGCTCCCTCTTGTACCCCCCATACAACACAGCTTTTTCGCCCATCTTGCTCATTGTTTACCATCTCCAAACAATGAAGAAGAACAGAAACAGAAGCTTGAAGTAGCGCAATGTGCTGTAAACTTTCCCTGCAAGTTGCATCCTTTATTAGTAGGGCAAATTGCTTGAAAATACAACGTACTTTAATATCATTCCTATTTTGGGCAACGTACTTTGAAACCTTCATTTTGGTATCTTAGATGCGACATCTCAAACATTCAGGTACCTAGTTTATATTTGAGAATGCATAAAAATGCAATGTACTTTGGTCCAATTCTTATTTTGAGTATCGTGCTTTGGTCTAAAACTACGTTTTGAACATACAATCAGACCAACGTACGTTGCATTTTAATGCAGTTTGCCCTTGTTAGTATGAGTTAGTATATATGCTCAAACAAAACCAAAATTTTCAACTATTCTCAGTGGGGTGGGCATGGATGGGCGTCAAACCTTTTGTGATGCCTAAGGAAAGTGTACAACATCCGGCAACAAGCTGCATATAGTTCAATTGAATATTGTCGATCGAAAAGCTTGGCGTTCATGCTCTCATTCTTAGTTTCTGTATCAGAGAACATCAGGAAAGCAGATTGAGCAGAAGCTTCAGATGTTCTATGGTGGAGAATATTCTGGAAAAGTGTAGCCGGAATACTCAGTGCTTGTGCTACATAGCATGCATCCATTTGATAAAGAGCATGTTTTCCTGACACTTTTGTGAGTACTTCAATACACATAAGAACAACAGATCCTGGATCCGGATCAGCACAATAATGTATATCCAAAACGGGATCCTTGTAAAAGATTCCTGGGCCCTGTAAATGCGTAATAATGTTGAAGAGGCAAGAAACTGAACCCAAGATATCCATTTTGACTGTGCTCAGGTTCTTCCGCCCTATTAAAAGAATGGTAATTGCCAGTATGGATTAAATTCTCCATTCCAATATCAAATCATCGAATGTTAAACAACAGTTGCAAACATGAAGCACGTATTAGCATCAAGTATATCAACTATTATGAAATTTATGACAACCACCTGTTTTTTTCATCAAATATATTCTCAACCACCAAACGATATGACATTGAACCCTCTTTGTGTTACTGCTTTAGAATTGCATTGGGCTTATGATGAGTAGATGGGTAGAACTGAACTAACATGCTCAAACAGAGAATGGCATGAACTTTGAAGTATCCTTTTCATGTAAAAAGTGCAAAAATTAAGTATACTAAAAGAAATCCTTTCTTAAGCTTCAAAACGATGTTATGAATAATAATGTTCCGTACTATAATGCATCTACTTTCCTTATTTTTATTAGTTTTGAAACAACCTTGGAAACCTTACCATCCAGGTTATATAGTGTACTAGAAAATGCTTCGTGATTTCACAGAGACAGGTTGATTATAATTTATGAACAACAAAGTTCAGGAGATTCTGATAATGTTATTGATAGCCATTGATAAATATAATTGCAAGATATCAAAGTACAAAGAGACATAAAAATCCAGCAAAAATCAATACAACAACAAAGCATAAACAATAGAAAATCGAGGTTCTAGAACATGAATATCCTTCCACACCCTCCTAGAAGTTAATTCCTTGGATATATTTCCATTCTCCATATCTCTCAACTATTTAACCCATGCTAGTTTTCGCCTTCTGCAGCCTTTTCTAACACCTGTGCTCAAAACAAGCCTCCCTTCTCATGCCACGTCTAAAGATCCATGCTGGATATGACCAAACTATGACAAGCAATGTTGCATGTTCCTTATCAGATTTACAGCCAACTTCTCCTGAATGTGCTCATTCATAACCTTAATAATCCTCTTTTGTCCACACTTTGACCTCAACATATGCATTTCTTCTGGGCCACCTTGTAGGTGAGTCTTCACTTGGTGGCTAACTTTCAGCCAATGAATAATATCAGACCTATGAAAGTATAGTTGTAATCGGATTTTGTGATCACATTGGACTCCTTATGCTTGTGACCATTCCATCCACCTTGTTTGTGTGCTATGACTAATCCTTCCACAATATTGACTTTAAATACCAGAAGGCATTGTACCAAGGCACCTCTTGTTCATACATGGTCACCACATATTCATCCTCAATCTCTCGGAACCACTAAAGTTGCAAAGCGTGCAAATGCTGCAGTTACATTTTTTTAAAACCCTCGACTTTTTCTCCAAAACTAGTTTTGCATCTCAAAATTGACCAGCACTACATCATGGGTAAAAGTATACACCATGAGATTTCCCTTTTGTGTCCTTCATGAGCTTATTCAGAACTAGCATCGGCTATATGTCAGCCCCGGTGTACTCTTTTTACAAGTAAGAACATTACTATCACTTACAAATGCTCTCACACCTACTCCAACATACAGGACATGAATCACATAGGCATACTGTGTAGAAACTTCTTCTCATGTCCCCCGACATAACTATGATTGACACCCTATTCTGGATCTATTAACAGCACATGCAAATCCATTTCTAGTCACATTTTTTCAGGAGTTGTCTAATCAGTAACACAGAAGCATGGACCAAATTCATTTCGTCGCACACTTGCCTCAGTTGTCAATCATCTGGGCATAAGCCAAATTAGCCAAATTGATTTTTGTGACACGCTTTATATCATCTTCGAGGAATGATCAATAACCAGTGTCCCTCAGTGTATGGCTGATAAGCTTAATACCTTTATAAGTAATACAAATTTGAATGTCATTTATTTTGTAGATCAGGGCCAGCATATTCCTCCACCCAGCAAACATATCTTCCAAAAGAAGCTATTAAACAGCCAAGTAGTTGTTACTATAGCTGCCTCCCCAAGGCCCAAAGCATCATCAAACTTTAATAGGAATGTTATTGGATCCTAAATACTTGCAATCTTTCATCTTTTTAGAGCTTCATTTACCTCACCGTTCTAACTTTAAATAAAAACCTGATGTCATCAAAAGAATCCAAGTTCTCCAATATTACCTTAAATCTCCATTAAATAACTTAACTAAGTAGCTTCTCAGTCCCTATTTAACCTTGTCCTCATATCTTAGTAGTTTTTAATTCTCATCCTTGATATATTTGATTTGGTTCTTCCCCTTGTTTTCTTAGTCTTTTATCCTATCCAACCTGCAGACATCGGCCTCTCCCTCCATTCCATGTTTTCCTATAAATCCTGATACATCTTTTATACCTTAAGCTTCTTTCACCATTAGCTTACCATCTTTTGGCCAGTTTATAATTCTTTGATGTTTCTCACTCTTTCAATCTTGTGGGCATCTATAGCATTCTTTCTTTTGCTTTAAACAAGCTTTTCTACTTTGTCATTCCACCACTCCTTTCTTGTTTTCTACCTTCTCCAAAAAGCTTTGCTTAAACACAATTTCTCCAAAAATTTTCTATCCTTGAACATATTGTGTGATCTCCTTCAAAGTTCTACTGCTTAGTCCTTTGGCTTTTGCTGTTGCCTATGCCTAGCACCTTGTAAAAAGCAAATTTTTGTCAGTTGTCACTGCCAAATTATGAGGCTTTTTGGCAGTTAGCACTACTGCTTAAACACAATTTCTCCAAAATCTTTGTACCCTTGAACATATTATGTGGTCTCCTTCCAAGTTCTACTGCTTAGTCCTTTGGTTTTTGCTGTTGACTATACCTAGCACCTTGGAAAAAGCAAAATTTTGTCAGTTGTCACCGCCTAATTATGCCTAGAGACTTTTTGGCACTACAAAATTGCTATTTCCTTGTCCCCTCCCCTCCACAAAGTTTCAGATCAGTGTCAACATTTTTTGACATGTTTGTATAGAATTGCTAGCATACCTAGTCAAAAATGATATGAACAGGTTAGATCCAAGCTTTGAATGCAAAAATCAAGGGAGTAAAGGGTAGTTTGGACTAATAATGGAGAGTGGAGAGGGCTTTCTGAAAGTGGCAGTGAGGGAGTTTAGCCTTCTCAATAGGGTATTTTGGAGAATAATTATCAAATCTCATGGGTGAATGTAAGAAAACTACCATACCTTGTTTAAATGGAACTATAAACATGGCCCATCAAAGTAGGTGTTTCTCAACAATTTCGGGAAGATAGAATATCAATACATGGTGCATTTTCAAGTGGTTTTAACCAACCTGTTGGAGGTGTGCGATATAATTTTACCTGTAATGGCTTCAAGAACTAAATCAAAACAATCAATGCCGGCTGCAACAACTGAAGAAACTTCTCCTCCGCCTGAACTCCCAGTATATATTTGATAATTTACCATGGAGCCTTTCTGCAGCCCAATCAGCGCCTTTTTAATAGACTGCACTGCAGAGGATATGTATGACACTGATGGTTTTCTGACAAAAACTTTGAATGACATCCTTAACCTGCTTTTGAGTTCATCTAAGCTAGAAGGACCACTAGAATATGCACATTCAGAGAACCCAAGTGGACCATTCATAGTCTTCATACTTGATTCAGTCTCGTGAGATTCTAGAGTCGCAACTTTTCCTTGTAATGAAATGCATTTCCCAATGGCCTTCAAGTGCAAATCAATAAATCTTGCATAGACATTTATTGGCAAGGTGGGATTAGTTAAAGAAAGATGGTTTGCGAATTCTTCAAGAAACTTTCCAATTCCATCCAAGAATACGAAAGTAAATTGTGATAATGTTCCCGTGTTGTTTGAGAACTCCAGTAACAAAATTTCTGAAATGCCTATAAACGTATTTACCAAGTTTAACGACAAGGAAGTCTTTATCTGTAAATTCAGCCTAAGCAAGGCTGAATAGGCAATAAATAGCTGTCTGAGGAAAAATGCGGCTTCAAGATTTTCTCCGTCTACAAGGCTGCGCAAAAAGGAGTTATTTAGATACATGCTGCCCATATCAACATTTTCTAAACTGAACCTCTTCTCCAAGACTTTAGAGGTCTTTGCCTCTCTATGATCCGATATGTCAAAACTGTCAGGAGAAACTACAGAAGAAGCCTTCGCCACCAACAAGTCTTCATTACATAGCCTCACTGGAGAAGCTTGAGAATCTGATAAAATTTTAAGTCCCTTATCATCTTGAAGAATCAACTCGCACAAAAAATTGTTTATAAAAGTTGTGTACGAATCTATGCAGAGTTTTAATTTGTCAACCGGTTCAAAATTTCTTCTAAGAAATATGGCTTTAAGATTACTATTCTGTGTGTCCATATGGCATAGTGTAGATGAGAGGCCCCACAAAAATCCCTGAAAGCAAGAAATAATAGATGAAAGCTTCTGAAGATTATAAACATCCGCAAAGCCTCTTGCTGTTCCACAATAAATGGTTTCCTTTTTAGAGGTAATCATAACTTGTGATTGATCTTTTAATGCCTCAGCTACATGGATCATAAAGTTGCATGCATCGATTCTTTCTGATTGATCCAAGCAAGAACTAGACCTAGAATGACCACTATCTTCTTGATCAAAACCAGATACAGCCTTCTGTGGAAAAGCTTCCCTAGCAGATATAAGATAATGACTTGCATGGGTAAGACTACCCTTGATGAGTGTCAAAAACACATATGATGTGTAATCCATCAGCGAGAACATCATATCCTTCACATGGGCGTCACCATCTTTAGAAAATGCATGCTGCACTGAGAGTAACGACTTTAAAAGCCACAAAGCAGGAAACTCGCCTCCAAAGTGTATGGCACCAAGTGACTTTTGACTGACTTCCATATTCTCTTCGCAAAATGTAACCATCAGATGTTTCAGGGTTTTGCGGCAGCAAAGGAGGAGCTGTAGGAGCTCATACTGGTCATTCAATGAAGGAGCGTCATTATTACCCAACAAAGTGCCAACTAAAAGCCTGAAACAAGAAAGAGCATTCACAGAAGCAGAATTATTAATCAATAGCCAAGAGAAAAGATCATTCCCTAAATGAAATGAACAGAGTAGAAAGAACAGAAAGGAATTATATCGATGAAGAGCATTAACGAAGTTCAAAACTATATAGTTCAGATTACTATTATCTGCCACAGCCATGCTTTCATCAATGACTTCTTGGATACAAATATTCCTCAACAGTCACTCATATTGGCATCTCAAAACAAATAAGAAACAAAGTTCATATCTCATATTCTCATGTTATTTTAGTTAATTAAGTGTTCACTCAATATCCGAAGCAAGACTTTGTACATTTGAAGATTCTTGCAACCCCAACTTATCTTGTAGCATAACAGTTGTTCTTACAATTGTTATGTTCAAACTTTTTAAAGAAACTGATCATCAATATTATAGCATATCTGTGCCTCTGGCATGATAATCCATTAATTACTTGCAAAGAACCTGGTTTAGAAACTATTTTGGTATATAACAATAGTAGATGCTTTCATAGTGATAGAATAAAATCATGTGTGTGATTAATTTAACAACTTCATGACAAAAAAACCTTAAATTTCATCTATCTCAGACTTCTTTATAATAAGTATGCTCAATAGATTTCAGAAGGCTATCTATAGCCATGAGATTTATGAAAACATTACATTGAACACCCAACCCAATACAAAAACTAAAAAATCAAATCACATAGTGTTTATTTTTTGTTTCTCTTTCTTTATCCGTCTAAAAGCTATAAGGCTCAAACTTGCAACATGAACATGAAAGAGAAAGCTTGCACTTCTGGGCATTCACCTTGATCTCAAACCAAAATCTTGAATTGGGATAGGAATGCTTGTTGTAACAGCTAGCATAATTTACGAGATTAAATTAATAAGAAAGAGAAGGGGTTACCTTTCAAGGTTTAAGATACAAGTTGCATAGAGAGAGAATGATTTAGAACTTATACATCGTCTCGGCATCCAACAGAGAAAATTGAGTGAACTTTGACAGATTGTATACATCATCCTACTTGATAGATCAACTTCTTGCTCACTGCAGCTTTTCCTGATGGAGAGGGAAAATGATGGTTCCCTTGAAGAACCATCATTCACCACATTGATAATGTTTGAAACAACTGATGGGATTGTAAGAGAACTTAAAACCTCAGGCCAATTAGGTTGTGATTGCAATTCAATATCTACTCCATTGCTAAATAATGGTGACACCAACTCGTCAAGGAACCGGCAAAACCTTGATGCCATATGCCTCCGCACAAACTAATTAAAAGAACAATATGAATATTATGAGATGCAATTATTCTTCAAACCTTAATACGAAACTCAAGCAGACAGAAAGAACAGAATAGTAATACACCAAAAGATATGTTAGAAGTTGATAATCCTGTGATAAAGAAGTTTGGTAGTGATGTCTTACTAGTGTAGGGGCCTGTTAGTTTCACTTATCTTCTGTTCGAGAAGCCTTAAATTGGCACTAGTTGTTAAACTAAAGTTTGCTATGTGTATTAAATGAAAAGGTAATTGTAAAAAACTGAAGGTGAAAAAAGCAAACAATGAGAAACCAAGGGTAGGAAGAGAAAAGATAGTGACAAACAGGCCACATCAACAGTCCTATAACTCTAGAAGGTGCCCAAATTGAACAAAAGAACAGGTTTGAGCAATCAAAACAGAAGGGAAAAAAAGATGAAAGTCTATGAAGGTATGGCATGTGTTGGATAACCAAACCTTTTAACTAATAGGCCAATGGAATCTTATAAATCAAAACTATCCACACCCTTGTTTTCTGAATCACATCTTTGTGGCAGTCACTTTAAGCAATTCTTTACGGCAAGTGGAGAATGTTCCACTCAGATCATAGGAAAGCCTGAAAGAGCTGCTTCTTAATTTTTACCCTTCTTTCACATGTTCAATTTCCTACTCTTTTCCTTTCTCATCATGAATCTGAGACTTTCAAAAGAAAGATCATTCCCCAAAACACATAAAACTTATTTACACTAATAGTTGAAGGATGGGGTTTACACATTATAATACCAACTTACTTTTTCCTCATATAACATTGTGTTGCTTAGAAGCTCCAATGAGATTTCACGTGGTGTGACTGTCTTCAAGCCTCCAGCTTTATTGGCATTGAGCTCTCCAAATTGCTTGAAATTGCTGCCTAGGTGTGGAAGAGAATTTTGAAGAAGAAGTGAGAGAAACATCTTCAATTTCTTCTTAGCTGCATGGGTACTCCAAATATCAATATTCTGGCAAATAATGTACCAAAATGCAGAAGGCAATGACTTCTTATCTATTGCAGCAACAGCAAAATTCCATTCATCTTCTGCTGATGGATAATTCGGCTGGCATTTACTCAATAAAGAGAGGTGTCCCATCATAAAACTTGTAAGACCTGTTGCCTCTTCTGCTAACTTTGTAAGGCACTTCCGCAACCGTTTATTTTGTTTACTGTAAGTACCATCCTCTTTGTTAGCCTTGGCAATTATCATCTCATTCCTCTTGAGCAAAAACTCGAATGAATTGATCAGCCTATTCAAGTCAACAAGCCTCTGAAGAGTCATAGCATTCATAACGTACGTTAGAGGGGAAAGATCTGACAAGCTTTCTTTAGAACAAATGCCTGAAATTGCTTCTATAGTGAGAAGAAGAGAAGCTGGACGCTTGACGATCCAAGAAAAATAGCCTTTGTCCTTTTCCGTCTTCTCCAACCAATCATTTCCAGAATAAGCTGTAGAGGAATCTCGCATCTCTTTTGACATCTTTTCAGATGTAGCTGGAGGTGCAAGACTGACTGCCTGACGGTATGAGCTTCTACAGGACATATACAAACGAAAAAAGAAAAGAAAAAGCCAATGAGCAGGCAATGTTTCATCTTTGCATCTGACTTGATTGGAGAACTTCCTTCCAAAAACTACAGACAGAAACTCATAAACTCCATCCCTTGGTTGTGTAATCAAAATGCTCATACTAGGACGGATTACCGTCATCAAAGCATTTAGAGAAACTCCAACAAGACTACTGTTACCAGTAGTGACCATTAGCGAATCCAGAACTAAAGCATACACTTCGGATAAACCGCTACCAAGAACTTCTGCTTTCAAATGGAAGCACGAAGAGCTAGAACCATCTTCACATGAATTTTCTAAACCACTTTCAGTAGACAATGGACTATTACCCTTCATCCATTCAAGGGATTTAGAGAGATCAGTAGCTAATTCTCGAATAGACAAACTTACTTGCCCTTCCGGTATGGACTTTACAGCATTATGAATAGAAAGCCTCAACTCTGGTGAGCATATTATCAATCGCAATGACTTTGTCCATGACTCGTGATAGGATCTCCAAGATTCGGAATGATCGGCTTCAATGTCTCTTACAGATGATACCATACATCTGATTGCTTTACAGAGTGCAAAAACAGAAGTACCCACCTATCAGATATGAACAGTTCATGTTAGAAAGTTTAACTTCACATGAAATGTTCTAGATAACTTATAAGCACTGATTGGCATACACATAACAAAGGATTAGTTTCTCTGGAAGTTGAACAGGCAAATAACAATTCACATAAACACGTAAAACCACACACTTTCCTATTGAAAGAAGATTGGCATAGAGAAGTGGAGGGTATACAAGCTAGCTGTAGCAGTACATCGTTTGTGGCAAAAATTTATACCTAAACCGAAAACGAAAGCATCTTATGATAGGCTTATCCAGTCTGTAGAGATGTCAAACAAAGTATTAACTCAAATCAAACTAACCTGACGAAGCTCGCTGTAAAGGTTGATCATGTGGCATCCAAGATGAAGTATTTCTGGAATTACCACCAACTTATCCTGCAAGTCAGTCGAAGGGTGTCCAAGGGTCCCATATGAGAACATCAAAAGCCACAAACTTTCTAGATCACTCCCAAGAACCTCATAATCAATTTCCAGTAAATAGTGTAAGCATAAAATAAGCTCTTTCGCTACCACCTCCACCAACTCCTTGCATGTTCCACTATTTACATCAAAAGTTGATGGCACTAACTGACCTACTTTGGCAGAAAGTAAGCTTATTTTATCACAGATTAGTTTCAAGAAATTAGCACAAGCCCCTTCAGATGTGTCATCTACCCTTACATATACTTTCTCTTGCATTAAGCTGACAAGAACTGAGTTGGTTGATTTGAGTGTGCAATGAACATCTTCCAACACGGATCCTACTTCCACTTCATCTTGAAGGTACGCATCAATGTCACCTAAGAAAGGCTCCATAATCTGTACAAAGAAATCAAATAGCGACTTCCGAATCTCCGCATTTAAAGCAGATACATGATGAAGTTCATTATGGCTACCAGAGGACCTTTTAAACATTTCACCTGAAAAATCATCAGTTAATTTGCTACAACCTTCAGTCACTTCTACACCTTCTTGTCTTTTGATACAGCGGACATACAAGCGAAAAAGCCCCCCTTCACCAAATAACGCCAAGGCTTTCTTCTCCACCGCTATCCTTCCCAGCCTATCAAACAAGTGTCTGTGATAACTTTTGATAACTGTTTTCGAGTCTTTTGGCTTCCCATCATCAGAGAGTTTATACTTAGCTAAGCTCTGTAAGGTCAAAAATCCATCAATGTGTGAGGGATGAAACAATCCCTGAGTCAAAACTTCTTCAATTAACTTCAATAATTTACTCATCCAAGCAGATTTACTGGCAAGAACAGAAGGGGGTAACACATGCAGCAGGCACAGCAAAGGTTCCAAAAGCCGATCCACAAAATCATGAAAACCGTTTTTCCGGTTAGGATGAAGCCTCAAAAACTTGGTGAATGGCTGAAGCACTAAGCATGTCCAATTCAAGATGATTGTGCCCGTTTTGCTACAGTCAAGTTTGCTGGTAATAATTTCCAAAACAAGCTCAAGTAAAGTGTCAACCAGCAAAATCCACAAATCCAAACTTTCATTGGAAACCCCACCATGTGATGTGAAAATGGCTGAAACGCAATCAAGCATTGTATCATATAATGTCACTTCATCATCATTCAAATCCTTGATTTCCATGTTCCTGGCGATGCATTGAAGAACTTTTAAGATGTCCCGAGCAAAGCTCATTGAAACATGTAGTTTCGTACCCTCCTCCAGGCAGAACTTTAAAATTTCCCAGCATCTATAATCTAAACAAGACCCACTTACACCATACTGAGGCTTAAGCACTTCAACCCTAATTTCTTTTTCTGAAGAGATTAATGTTGACTGGACCCAATTGTTGAGAAAAATAATTGCTCTTTCAAAGCTAACAGCTTCTGACGACTGGGTTGTGTCATCTGCTACTTGACTTGAACTCAATTTTACGAACTTATGTGCCAGCTCCACCTTTCTGCACAAATATTCAATCAAATGTCAGAAATGTACAACCAAAAATTACCGTCAAATATAATTTTGTATTATTGCAGTCCATTTGGCCTCGTATCCATATTACAAAACGAGCTTCGATATAAAAATTTTGATTCAAGCAACTACAAATGAAAACAAAAACCTGAAGAGAGTGACAAACGCTGCTGCAATAAGAAGAGAAGCTTACTTTTCAATATCGATAGTCTTCTTCTGTAATGATAAAACTAGCTGCAAATTTCTCCATGGAATGGAATCCTGGAGCAACTCCGTTGTTGTTTCCATATCTTCTTCTATTGATTCATTTACAAAACCGTCTGATTGACGTATACGAGATGATTTCGAAGCCATTTCCTCGTGCTTCTTCTCCAAATCCATAAGCTTTCTCTTCTTCTTTCTCTTCATTGCGCTGGAGCTGCTCTTTTCTGCTCGCGGCGACTGGTAATCCGCCATTATTGAAGTTCAAAGCTTCCAAGGGTTTTTGGGCTTTAGAGGGTTTAATTTTTTAGTCTTTAAACCAAAGTAATGTTACACAAACCATACCTTGAGATTACAGTAATTACATTTAAACCCTTTTAATAGAATATTACACAAATTCTTCTTCTAATTTAAACGAATTACACAACTGCCCCCCTAAAATGGAATATTACACAACCCAACCCTTATCTTAGTTAAATTACAAGGGAACCCCTAACAACCTATTAATTTGTTAACAAACCATTTCTTCAATGACGAAGTATAGCAGATGCAATCGCCCCCCTTCAAAATTTATAACTAATCAGTATTATGCATCGTGCATTGCATAATAATGATAATCTTTTTGTTATAAAATCAGTTAATTAGGCCAATTGCTCATGTATAAATATTATATGTCTGATTGATGGTCAATTTAAGTGAACGATTAGACATGTGTAATTGTGTATTACGTAGGTAACATTCACAAATGACCAACTAAACATGCCTTGACCAAATACTAGGCATGGCAACGGGGCGGGGATGGAACGGGTTTTGTAATCCCCGGCCCTGGTTTGTAGTAACGTCCCCCGTGCCCCGTCCCCAGCGGGTACGAGGATTATCATGCCATCCTCGGTCATATCTCTAGCAATCCCCGGTCAAAACCCGATAAAACCCCATAAATATTATCTTTTAATTTGATTCTATCTTGGATCCCCGACCCCGGTTTGAGTAACATCCCCCGTCTCCTGTTTGAGTCTACCGGGGATCCCCGGCCCCAGCCCTGGGACCCGTTTTAGCGGGGAATCCCCGTCCCCGTTCGGGTGGGGTGAACTGGGTTCCGCACTGGGTCGGGACAAATCACCATCCCTACCAAATATGAGTCGAATGTGATTTTCGAACCGTGACATGTGCATTATTACATTACTAAAATATTCAATATTTTTTGCCGAATGGTCTTTGGCTTATCCGTATCAGAGTCACGATAGCTCAGCCTTCAAGAAGATCAAGAGTTCACACCTCATAAAATGAGGGTGGTGTTTGACTTCATTTGTCGTATATAATAAATTATCTATTTAAAAAATATTCAGTATTTTCATGCATACTTTGTATTTCCAATTGCATGTTATGCATATGATATGTCTTTACAGTTTTCAAAGCATGCCAAATGTTTTACAACACGAGTACGGTTTGCATTATCTAAACAAGGTTTTCATCGGCATATACCTCGCTGACAATAACCCTCTGTCGGCCAACCCATACCCACCCATCTCCATCAATGAACCCCAAAGTGGCACCACCATTCTTCCACCCACATCAAATCTCCAAGGATCCTTGTCAACGTCCCTCTCCCTCTGGTCACAACAAAATCGAAAATAACCGACCAAAGCGATGCATCTAGTTATAGGACCTCCTCATCGGCGTACCTCTCTCCTGATTTCATTTGCCCCATCGAAGCACCTCGTTGTCGCCCCCTCTCCCTCTTAGGTTTACCAAACCATCAAGATCTATGGATTATGAAGCAAACTCATTGGGGATGCAAAAGGCATAAATATTATTCCTCTGTTTACTTCATCTACAACAGATATACATGTTAGTTAGGGTTTGATTTTAATTTTGAGATAAAGATACGTGGATATATCTCCTTCCATGAGATTTACTCTTTGAAGATATATACATGGGTTTGATTTAATTTAGATTTGGATTTGGTTTTATGTGTAATTTATATAGATTAGGGGGTGTTTGGGATTGCTTATTTGAAACAACTTAAGCTTTTATATAAAAGCACTTATCAACTTATTATAAGTCATAAGGGTTTAACTTATTCAAAAACTCCTTATTACCGGGTTGGCACCGGCATAAGTTGTTTATCCAAACACTCAAAAGTGCTTATTACCGGTGTCACACCGGAATAAGTCAATAAGTTATTTTTATAAACAATCCCAAACACCCTCTTAGTCACGGTTCTTCTCCATTAATTTGAAATTTGGATTTTGAAATTGATTTTGATTTTGAGATTGATCTTGATACATGTTTTTGTCTGTAGAAGATGAAGTTGGTCGGAGATGAGTATGTGAACTACAATTTTGGTCCCTGTGATTTTTGAAAGGGTTAAAAACAAAAAACCAGTAAAATGATGAGAATGTCCCTCGTTTAACAGGTTGTTCCAACGAATGTTTAAGAGAGGGATCAAATTCAGTCGTTTTTACACGTCATAATGGTCAATTTTAATTTTGAAAGTGTATGCGCCAAAAGTGTTATAACCACCAAACCACATGTACCAAATTGTAGTTTACTCTTAAAGTTTTATATGATATTAATTTTTTGGACAAAATGTGCGAAATAGTAACATACTTTTACAAAATTCCTTATCATAGCATTTTACTTTATGTTTTTCTTATTACATCAATATACTCTCAAAATACTTTTTATTAGATAATCGTACTTTAAAAAATTCACCCGTTATAGCATTGAGTAACATTTTAAATTAAATTTACCCTTTATATCAGGTTTATTTGTCACCACATCGTCCACGTAGGCTGTTCACATGTACGATAGTGCATACATGATATTTCTTATTATAACATTGTACATTCAAAATTACTTTTGTTAGTCCCGAAGGGTAAGACAATAAACAGAAAGTAATTGTAGAAGGGGGGTTGAATACAATTACACAGACTTTTTTCAACTTTTTAATTCTTATTGATTTATATCAAGAATTAATACACACAGAATTACAAAAGATTGTTGCGGAAGATAGGAAAGGAAAACCTAACCTAAACAATCTTACAAAGAGAAGAACTTTCAAGAACAACACAGAGAGTTCTTGAAAGGAAATGAAGAACACTAAGAATCTCTTCACACATAGGAGAGCAAGGGAGTAGAAGGAAATAGCCGATTGCTTTGAGAGTGCACAGAGTAATCTTTCAAAAGCCAAGTGTATGTATGGGAGATGCACACTGCCTTTATATACTGCCTTCAGCATTTAATGCATGGGGACACTTGTCACTTGAGGATAAGAAGGCAGGGGTTGACCTGACCAATGTTGATATCTCATTTTCATCGTACACTGCATGCATACAACACAATTCATGCAGAGACAARCTTGCACAGTTCATGCAGAGACAAACCTTGCAGAGATATGGTCAGTCTGTAGGAAGATCTCMTTTGGATGGATATGAAGCTTCAAGCAGCTACACACAAGTCTTCGATCCATGGAGATTTTCAATCTTCGGTCCATGATCTTCAATCTTGAGTCCATGAAGATTTTCAATCTTCGGTCTATGAAGATCTTCCTTCAATCRGCTTGTAGCTTCAAAATATTTTCAATATGCATTTCAGCTACTTCGGAGTCTTGGTGTGTATATTAGACAGTTGATCCACAACACCGCATCGGTGACCTTCTGTCTTCACATCGGCTAGTCTTCGATTTTGCCAATGGCTTTAAATATGTACCAAGACACCAACTTACAAAGAACCAATAACTACTAAGTGTTGCTAAGGTAGAAGAACAAATCAGTGGGTCATCACCAAATCAATAGGTGACCCAACAACTTTATTATAACATCACCAATTTCTACTACAATATTGTATTTAATTTTAATATTTTTTTTATCATTTTAAAATTATAAATTTAATCAAATATGTTTACTAAAAATTACAATAAATATTATTTGAGATTATAATATCGTATTTTTTTTACATATTATAGAAGACAAAAGACACCCAAATCGATAACTCTTTTTTTAAAATTAACATGTATGCAATATTATATATCAAACAATACATGAAATTTAAACTTTTTTTTACCATTGTGTAAGTTTTTTGTTAAATTAAATATTATATTTTTCAAATAAAGAAACAACCTCTCTTAAAACTCTGCAAACAAATCAAAATAGCTAACACATACAAGAATCACCAATGCAATTGAATATTATAATTTTTAGTAATATTTGATTAAATTTACAATGTTTAAATGATAAAAAATATTAAAATTAAAAGTACAACGCTGTAAGGTTTTGGTACCATCGGAGAAGACTACGGGGCCGTTTACCAAACGCTTACCCGGATAAGCGATTATCAAGTCACACTGCCTTACTGGATAAATATGAGATTTGATAAGTTGTCGTGAGACATGGAAAGAGAGATACATATGAGATTTGATAAGTTGTCACTTTAATCATCAAATTACAAAAATATCCTTTCATTATTAATTATAGAAATACAATAAGGGGTTATTTACCAAACACTTACCAGGTAAGAGCTTATTTTTAAGACTCATGACTCTTGTTTACCTTATGGAGTAACATTCTCGGCCATCACATTGAATTGATGGTAAACGTTTATAATTTGATACGTGTTTACCAGATAAGAGTCATCACCCTCACTTACTGGGTAAGATCATTATCTTCCCTCTTACTAGGTAAGATTCTCAGTTCTTGTTATGTTCATCCAGTAAGGTAATTGAACTTGTAAGCACTTACCAAAGCAAATGTTTAGTAAACGGCCCTTAAAATTGGAGTTCCCAAATGATTAAATGACCCCTATGTTTCTAGTTGTTGGATTGGTCGCGTGGCAAAAATCTAAACCAACCCACACTTAAATATCCCCAAAATTTGGGTTTCGAGTTTTTGAATTTCAGGACATTTAAATCACTAACAAAACTCTTAGGGGGCGTTTGGTTCGTATAATGAAATTCAATGGAATTGGAATTCATCAAATGAATTTGACTTTGAGGGAATGAAATGGAATTTGACCATGTTTTTTGATTGCGTTTGGTTGGATGAAATTGGAATGAAATTCTTAATCGAATTGGGATTTTTTTGTTTTGTTCACGGAATTCAACGAAAAAATTACAGGCAAAAAAAACTGAAACCGAAACTTTCGGGTTGGGTTCAGGGATATCTTATCGGGGACGGGACGGGGATCGGGGACAAATTCGGAGATTTTAACGGGGACGGGGACGGTGATCATCGGCCCGACCCGGCTTGATATGTGTATATATATTAATTTTAATATATATATATATAATATTAAATTCGGGGATTTTAACGAGGATTTTTAGATCTGTTTCGGTTTGGTTACAACCAACGGTGCAAGGGAAAAAGAGGATTTTTACCTTCACGAATTCCCCAACGGGGATCGGGGAAACCACTGGACCCGATAAGATCCCCGACAGGGATCAGGACGGTCATGGGGACGATTTTAGTTATCGGTTTCTTAAACAGGGATACCAATAACCGGCCTGAACCAGGTCTGTTGTCATTCTTAGTTTTAAGCAAGATCGAGCATAGCAGAACAGAGCAAATCGAGATACAGCGTCGATGAATGGATGAGGGCTAAGAAATTTGTCGGATTGGAATTTGAAATCCGTGGTATATGCGGTGGAATTGTGAAATCAATGAATTAAGGAATTGGATGGAATTGGAACGATTCCTTCACACCTATTATGTGAACCAAACATGAGATTTGGAATTTGGTCAAAGATTTGGACATTCCAATTCCTTCCAATTCCACCAAATTCCATAAACCAAACACCCCTTTATTTTCGGTTCGGTTTCGAATTTTACACATTCCTACTAGTTTTATTATAGGAATACTAGAAGAGTACTCATACAATGCATCGAGACACATCTTGATTTTAATGTTTCGTTTTATTATTTATTTATGTCGATATAATACGGTTTTATGTGGTTTTGAGAAAACGATAATGTTTTATTTTTTAATAGAATATAAATTTGAAAATATTATAAAAACTTGAAAAAACTATATCGATATTAGTATCAAATTAGATATTTAATTTTTTTTTGTGTTGTGTAATTTTCTTTAATTCAAAATTTTTATTAGGGAAAATTGCACCAAAATGGAACCAACTTTCACCTGATTCCTATTTTGGGGAACCAACTTTCAAAATTGTCATTTTGGGGAACCAACTTTCACTTGATTTTTATTTTGGGGAACCAACTTTCACCTGATTCCTATTTTGGGGAACCAACTTGGACCTGATTCCTATTTTAGGGAACCAACTTTCAAAATCGTCATTTTGGGGAACCAACTTGCATCTGATTCCTATTTTGGGAAACCAACTTGCAAAATAATTATAGAAAAATAACTAAAATTCATTTCTTTTCAAAAATTAATGCAATAAAATCTATTTTTCATTTCAAATCTCGTTTTTTAAATTCAAATATCAAATTGAAGATTTTTCGAAAAAAATCCAAATTACCACGATAAAAATTGTTTTTTACTAATGCAATAAAAAATCAATTTAATAGAAAAAAATTAATTGAAGCAATAAAAAATAAATATTAAATATCACATTCAAGATTTTCATATCTAACCAATCTGTGTCAATATTAAAGTTTAAATCAAATTTGGCAAATCCAACCAAAAGTTTGATAGAGACACTTAAATTATCTGTTACCTGTTTAACAGATCAATCAGACCCTTAAATAAACAAAAAGTTCGATAGAGACCCCTAAATGACGATTTTAAAAGTTGGTTCCCCAAAATAGGAATCAGGTGAAAGTTGGTTCCATTTTGGTGTAATTTTCCCATTTTTCTATAATTATTTTGCAAGTTGGTTCCCCAAAATAGGAATCAGGTGAAAGTTGGTTCCATTTTGGTGTAATTTTCCCATTTTTCTATAATTATTTTGCAAGTTAGTTCCCTAAAACAATAATTAGGTGCAAGTTGGTTCCCCAAAATCACGATTTTGAAAGTTGGTTCCCCAAAATATAAATCAGGTGAAAGTTGGTTCCCCAAAATGACGATTTTGAAAGTTCGTTCCCCAAAATAGGAATCATGTGAAAGTTGGTTCTATTTTGGTGCAATTTTCCCTTTTTATTATAATTTAATTTAACATAACGAAGTAATTTAATTTAGGTTTAATAATATAATTTTTTATAAAGATAATAATCAAGTATTTTGTTAGAAGTCAATAATTATCTTAATTATATTTTATATTTAAAATAAAATATTTATTATTTATTTGATTATGCTTATCTGCAGTTAGTTACACGAATTCAAACATGAAGCTTTAATAAGTTATACTTATATAAAATTTACTTATAATCTTGAATTGTAAGTAATATACATCAATAAATAGTACTTCATACATAAAAAAATGATTTTTAATTTTTACTTATAATCTTGAATTTTAAGTAATATATATCAATAAACAATACTTCATACATAATCAAATATTTTGTTAGAAGTCAATGATTATCCTAATTATATTTTATATTTAAAATGAAATATTTATCATTTATTTGATTATGCTTATCTGGAGTTAGTTCCACGAATTCAAACATGAAGCTTTAATAAGTTGTACTTACATATAAATTACTTATAATTTTGAATTTTAAGTAATATATATCAATAAACAGTACTTCATACATAAAAAATGGTTTTTAATTTACCCAGGTAAGCGCTTACCAAGTCACATTACCTTACCGGATGAATATGGTAAGGACCAAGAATCTTACCCGATAAGTAGGAGACAATGATCGGGAGTCTTACCCGGTAAGTGAGGATGATGACTCTTATCATAGTAAAAGCTTACTAGGTAAATTGTTGCATACAATGCCGTTTTAGTGGATAAAAGTTTTACCCGATAAGTAAATAATAATGTTAAATTTTACTGATAAACGATTATCGGATAAGTGTTTGATAAACGACCCTGAGTGTTTGGTAAAGGGATAGTGTTATGTGTATATATAAGTACAAATATCGTTTGGACAAATTTTGTTGGTCAATAATCGATCAAAATCGTTCAGACCTGATACCACCACTTACTTACGAAATTGCCCACCCTTCTCCCCCATTTCCTTTTTTTTTATATCTCCGACATACCTCAAGAACGTCTTGATTCTTCCGAGTCTTCTTCTCTTCACCGATCCTTCAGCCGAAAATTCTTCAATTCTACGTCTTCGAATCTTCAAGTAAGATTCTTTTCATTCTTTAACCTTTCATTCGATTTTAGGGTATTGTTTCTTTTCCAATTTTGCGTTACTTTCGCCAAGGGTTTTGCTTCTAGTAAGATTTTTCAACAAGGGTCTTGTTTCATGGATTTGATTTCATTCGATTTCCCCCTAATTTGTGCCTGCTCGAATGCTTGATCAAGGGTTTTCGTTTTGAAGATCTTAATTTTATATAGGGTTTTGAGTATTTGCATTTGGAGATCTGATACTTATATAATTTGTAGTTCAATTTGATGACTCTCTAGAAATGCACATGCTCGATCATCTGAATTATGCGAGAAAAGGTAGCTGTTACTGGCCCCATTTGACAGAATTCCCCCCTGATTAATTATGCGTATAAAATAGCGAAGTTATTTGCTTTAACATGATGCTGTGGCGAGCAGATTATATTTTCGTTGAATTCTACTAAATCTATCGTCAGGTATTCACACACACACATCTTTTCTTTTTCAGACATTGTAGGGAAACGAAAACATAATTGGTTCTATTGCTGCTTTTGTTTTCTGTAGTAACTGTATGATTCACCATTTATGAATCTTCTCTTACTTGCTTCCATCCAAATATTCGCAATAAATCAAATTTTTGTAGTTTTAGGTTGGTCATTGCACTTGGCACCCACGTTCTTAGCTTTTCAGATTTACCGTCAATTAAGTTCAGTAGACATCATTGAACTCAAAGTTAATGAAGGGGAGATAGAGATGTTTGTGTGTGTATCGGAAGTTGGACTTATGAAGGTTTGGTTTTCTAATGATCATTAGCGAATTCATTAAGACCAATTGGCCATTTTAGTAGTGATCAAGATACAAGGAGGTACTTTGAGCAGTGGGCTGATGTTTGATAAATAACTGTGCAACTATTGTACATGTGCGAGTGTGTGTCTGTTTTGATGAAGAGCTTTAACGTTCTTTGCACTAAAAACCTTTCTAAAGGATTTAGGATATATGGGGTGGCTTACTTATTTACCCTTGTAAACACTTGAAACCCATCAAATTTTATCACCTGGGTGGGGTATTGCCTTGGTTACTAATTTGATCATAACTTGTGTGACCAAGTAATGATAGTGTACAACCAACAATGGGGGGTATTAATTTAATGTTCTTTTCTGGACAAACTTCAGGCGCAAGCAATGGTTAGTATGAGTTGTGGTTGCAAGAAGAACTTTCCATGATATAAATTATAATTGGATTGAACTGCTAAAGCTTGACTTGCATGGAGCACATTTCTTTTCAAGAAATGTAATAACTGATTAGGAAAAGTTTGTTGGTTGTATTTTGGCTTTCAGTTGTGTAAATGTGGTGCAGAGAATTTTGGTTTTTTAGGATTGATACCTATGTTTATTACATCAAGATGGAATTATGTATCTTTGATTCAATTACTATTATTTGAGGAATAACCCAATTTGATTAAATTTAGTATTTATATAATTCAGCAGTTTGTATTCCTTCCATTAATTCTTCTGTTTCTATGTTGTGTTTATTTATAATTCTGGTTACCAAATTGCTAAGTAACTGCTAAAGAAATGCTTCAATTTGGGAATTATGCTGCGATAAAATCATTCAACATTTATCATTCTGTATTATCAAACAATTTCTTGTTCAAAATGTAACCAGAGTTACTTGATAATTTTGTGTCATATGATGGTTATTGAGAACATTTATGAAATAATTATTTTTCATTCAACACCAACTCCAAACAGATCCTAATTCATCCACACCTTTTATTTATGTATCACTTATTTATTTAGTTTCATCAAACAGGTCCTTAGTTTCAGCAATTCAAGAAATCTTGATCCTAAGGTCTAGGTTCACATATGAGCTGCAATGGCCGACCAGCCTAATTTTTCTGCTGGATACTCTGTTGGAATCACCCCCTCCACCCCTGAGGCACAATCACGTAGACCAGATACCAAATTGACTCCTCCTCCTTTCACCCCGCCCCCGGGTCCCAGATTTGCACCACCCAATGTGCAAACAAACCAACTACTTTCCCCTTCCATCAAGCCCTCACAACTGTCTTTATCTGCAAATGGAATTAGAACGGGGAGCTCTCCACATTTGAGCACTCCGCCAGGACCTCCTGTATTTTCTTCACCGGTACAACCTGCTGCAGTGCCATTTCGAACATCTCCAGCAACTCCTCAACCAGTTGCATTCTCTGCAGTTCCATCCTTATCTGCCTCGCCCCCTTCAAACTTTTCAGATGGGGCAAATGAGTTTCAGCGTCAGGTTTTGAGTGACACAGAGGACATGGTGTCACTTTCTGATGCACCAAATGTTCTACTCTCAGCACGTAAGGTATTCTTTAAACCCGTTCCTTTAATCGTATTTCCCCAAGAACATTTTACTTTATCTCCATGTTTTATCTTGAGATATTGAATCATCATTCTTCAGAATTGGCTATCCATGGCAAAATGAAAGATTTTACTTACGTACCACTTTTGTTTCCCACACTTGGTCTATGTAGGTACTGAAACAAAAGAAATTGATGAATGTACCCAGCTTGGGTTTTGGGGCTTTGGTTTCTCCTGGGAGGGAGGTTTTGCTTGGTCCTCAAATAATTCAACGGGATCCTCATCGTTGTCAAAATTGTGGAGCTTATGCAAATCTTTATTGCAACATCTTACTTGGATCAGGGCAGTGGCAATGTGTAATTTGCCGAAATCTGAATGGAAGTGAAGGTGAATACATAGCTTCCAGTAAGGAAGAGCTTCTTAATCTACCAGAGCTTGCATTTCCAATGGTTGATTTTGTTCAAACTGGGAACAGAAGACCTGGTTTTGTTCCCGTGTCTGACTCAAGAATGTCAGCACCTATTGTTCTTGTAGTAGATGATTGTTTGGACGAACCCCATCTCCAACATTTACAGAGCTCCTTACATGCATTTGTAGACTCACTTTCTCCCACAACAAGAATCGGGATTGTATCATATGGACGCACGGTTTCAGTGTATGATCTCTCTGAAGGATCAATTGCATCTGCTGACTTATTGCCTGGTAATGTTTCTCCAAATCAAGAATCTTTGAAACAACTGGTTTATGGAACCGGGGTTTATTTGTCTCCTATTCATGCTTCCTTACCTGTGGCACACTCGATATTTTCATCATTGAGGCCATATAAGCTAAATCTCCCTGAAGCATCTAGAGATCGTTGCATGGGGGCTGCAATAGAGGTTGCATTGGCCATTATTCAAGGACCATCCGCTGAAATGTCACAGGGAGTTGTAAAAAAGCCTGGAGGTAGTAGTAGAATCATAGTCTGTGCTGGAGGACCAAACACGTATGGTCCCGGTTCAGTCCCGCATTCTTTTAGTCATCCAAACTATCCCCATATGGAAAAAACCGCATTAAAGTGGATGGAACATTTGGGTCGTGAAGCTCATAGGCGTAATACACTAATTGATATCTTATGTGCTGGAACATGCCCAGTAAGAGTTCCTATTCTGCAACCCCTTGTGAAAGCATCTGGCGGCATTTTGATTCTTCATGACGACTTTGGTGAAGCTTTCGGTGTGAATTTGCAGAGAGCATCCACTCGGGCAGCGGGTTCTCATGGTTTGATGGAAATCCGTTGTTCTGATGATATAACGGTTTCTCAAGTTATAGGCCCAGGAGAGGAGGCGCATACAGATAACCATGAAGCTTTTAAGAACGATAATTCGGTCTCGATACAAATGCTAAGCGTGGAAGAAACACAGTGTTTTGCAGTGTCGATGGAGACACATGGAAATATCAAAAGCGATTATGTTTATTTTCAATTTGGGATTTTCTTCTCGAATTTATATCAAGCTGATATCATAAGGGTGATTACTGTTAGATTGCCCACAGTGGATAGTATTTCATCTTACCTTGATAGTGTTCAAGATGAAGTGGCTGCAGTCCTTATTGCCAAAAGGAGTCTTTTGCGAGCCAAAAACTTCTCCGATGCAATTGATGTGCGAAAGACGGTAGATGAAAGAATTAAAGACATTACTAATAGATTTGGATCCCAATTGCCCAAGTCGAAGCTTTATCAATTTCCGAAGGAGCTATCCTACTTACCTGAGTTACTATTCCATCTTAGGAGGGGTCCACTTTTAGGTAGCATTCTTGGTCATGAGGACGAAAGGTCTGTTTTGCGGGATATCTTTTTGAATGCATCCTTTGATTTATCTCTCCGAATGGTGGCTCCTAGATGTCTTATGCACCGTGAAGGGGGCACTTTTGAGGAGCTGCCGGCTCATGACCTTGCAATGCAATCTGATGCAGCTGTTGTTCTTGATCATGGGACTGATGTCTTTATTTGGTTGGTAAGCAACTTACCTTATTACTCTCTCTCTCTCTCTCTCTCTCTCTATATATATATATATATATATATATATATATATAGGTCAGGTTCAGGGGAAAACCGCAGAAAAATGAAAAATTGATGAACACCCTAGGCATCATTCATCTGGACGGTATGCACATGTGCATACAAGTAATTTGTAGGCAATTTGTCCGGTATGCATATGTGCATAACATGCACACGTGCATAAAAACCAAGAAATAACTTTAATTACTTGAAGGCGCATATGCATACTGTCCAGATGAATGATTACCAGGATGCTCCTTGTTTTTGGGGTTTTCCCATGAACCTCTCCCCCCCCCTCTCTCATATATATATATATATATATATATCCTTGGATCAAGCACTTGTATGTTGGATATCTTTTTTTTTGTCCTAGGTCTTCTCTTCCAACTCCTCCAATTGTTAAAAATATACATTTATTTGTAGCTTACCAGAAGTTACAATTCACCTACACTCATGCAAACTTGTTCATAGCTCCTTTGGAAGAAAATAGAGTGAAAACGATTCCATTCCTTGCTTTTGGATGGCAATATTATATCGAAAACTAGTTTGGATCTTAGGGAAACATAATTTGGAAATATTAGTAAAAGAAATAAGTTCTCGTCTTCAAATTTTCTGTTTATTGCCTTTTTTTTCCTTCTCCTTTTTCTTTTTTGCTTTGGTTTTTAAGTCTATCCCTCAACGCCTTTTAAACTGTCATAATAACCTTTGGTTTCTTTTTTGCCTGATTAATCTGGATATATCTGATCCATACTACTGGTTAACGTCAAACTAGTTACATTTCTTAGGAAAATAAAGACATTTAAGTTAGTATACAGTCTCTCTCTCTATATAATCACTAACGGTCTTAAAAAGATAAATGGTGACGAGTTTGATGGTTGTAAAACTTATGACCAAAAAACAATCAACCTCCTCCCCTCAACAAAGAAAAATGAAAAATAATCAAGAAACTATCCGAAGTTGGAATCAAGAAACTACAAATCTGTCTCTGTATACCTGTGTTCTTCATAACCCATTATCTTTTAGTAGGAAGATGTAAAATTATTCTAATCTTTTACTGTTGGTGAGTTCAACTTAGGGTGCTGAACTTGCGGCCCAGGAAGGAAGAAGTGCAGCAGCTCTAGCGGCCTGCAGAACGTTGGCAGAAGAACTGACAGAGATGAGATTCCCAGCTCCTAGAATTCTTGCATTCAAAGTAATATTTCAATCCGATAACTTGTATTCCTCAAACCATCATAACTAGTATTTTATAGAAGAAAGTAACTTTTTTATGGGAAAACTGGTTTGTAACAGGAGGGCAGCTCTCAAGCAAGGTATTTCGTGTCTCGGCTAATCCCTGCACACAAGGACCCTCCCTATGAGCAAGTGAGTGGATCATAATCGTGTTGGTTTTCCGTCATTCTTGTGCAGAAAAGTGGCAAATAAACTAAAGAGCTTCCACAATTTTTCATTAAAGCTTTTTCTGAAAAGTGGGTCCCACGAGCTTAGGTGGCACTTTGAGAGCTTGTGCCGTTACAAGCAAAAAGATGAAATTTGTTGTCATGAGCTTTTTCACAATATGATGTGGCCAATAAGCTCTTCAAAAACCGCTCCAAAAAGCTCTATTGTGGATGCTCTAATCTAATCACATTATAAGGGCTTGTTTGTTAGCAACTTAATAAGCTTAATAAGACTCATAGCTTATTCGATTAAAAATACGTTTCTTCCATCTATGAAAAAACCCTCCCAAACAAAAAACCTTCCTTATCTATACAAACAGATTAATTGAGACAGAGCTTTATTCATACAGAACTTGATGAAAAATCAACCAAACAACCTCTAAGTGTAGACTTTTATCTGCGTTTCTCCCTTTCACACACTTTAACGACTACTGACGTACATTTTACCCTCCCAGATGCCACCTCTTGGTGGGATGGTGGGATATACCGGCGTCGTTTGGTTTTTAACTTTTTTTACACTAAGTGGATACTTTTATCTGTATTTCTTCCTTTCACACACTTTTAACAACCTGTCTAGAGGTCAGGTCTTCACACATCTTACCCTCCGAGACACCACCTTTTGGTGGGATATACTGGAGTCATTCGGTTTTTAACCTTTTTTACACTAAGTGGATATTTTTATTTGTATTTCTTTCTTTCACACACTTTAACAAACACTCTACTCTTTAGGGATAGAGGTCAGATCTGCATACGTTTTACCTCCGGGCGGGATATACTGGGCTCATTTGGTTTGGTTTATTTACACTAAGTGGGAACTTTTGTTCACAGGAAGCAAGATTTCCGCAGCTTAGAACATTGAGTACAGAAGAAAGAACAAAGTTGAAAAGCAGTTTTATTCACTTTGATGAACCAAGCTTCTGTGAATGGATGCGGAGTCTGAAAGTATTGGCACCCGAACCAAGCTAAGCATTTCAAATTCAATCCCAAACAAACATCAAAATTTCTCTTTTTTTCTTTCTTTGTTTTTGTTGAGCAGCTGGACAGAGCGGTTAGGATTCGTTTTTTTCTAATTTTGTTTACATTTGATTTGGGTGCCGAAATGGGGCAATGGAAGAAATAAGTAGGAAGACAGGGAAACAGAAGAAAAGGAAGTTGACTTTTGATCTTCAAAATTATGACTTTTCTATGGATGATTGATTCCCTTTGTCTTCTGGGCTTAAATTTTTTGGCAGCTTTAGATTCCTGCTTGTGGAATGCCTTTGAAATGTTGGAAACAAGATGCAATACCCCCAAACCAAAGGTTTAACAGTATCTAGATCCCAATCCAGCCTTGTTAGAGAGAGAGTGTGTGTGTGTATATATATATATATATATATATATATATATGATTTGGTTCATGTGAGACTAATCTGTTTTTGTGAGATTACCTTTTACACTTGAAATTTCACAGCAAAACTCTGTGAAGGTAAAAAAAGCCAAACCTTCACAGCAAAAATAGTGAACGTTACTTTCACAACGTTCTGCTGTGAAGGTTCAAGTGTAAAAAAGTGGTCTCACGGGTCTCAGGAAAACAAACTGGTCTTTCGTGAACCCAACCCTATATATATATATAGACTTGGGATCATGTGAGACCAGCCTGTTTTCATGAGACCACCTTTTTACACTTGAAACTTCACAGCAAAATGTTGTGAAGGTGACTTTTTTTTAACCTTCACAGTGTTTTTGTTGTGAAGTTTCAAGTGTAAAAATGTGGTCTCACGAAAACAGGCTGGTCTCACGTCAATATATATAGGTATATATAATTATTCATTACTTCCCAAAGAAATTGTATTCTTCAATGCACAAAGGGAAGTAATAAGAACTTGTGATGCATTTGGGGTTTGTGTTTGGTCCTACATCATTTGCAAGCTTAAGAGCATGTGCAATGGGGTTTAAACTGCTTAATCGGCAGGAGCATTAACCGGTTGTAATTTGGTTTGGTCCTTGTTGGTCCCTTATAACCGGTCCTAGTCGTAACGGGTGCATTGTTGGTCCCTTATAATCAGTCCTAGTTGTAACGGGTGCATCTAAAAAAACGTAACTAGGGTTAAAGATGGTCAAAAATCAGTCTCTTTAACAAACATAATTTAAAATGAGATTTTGTTTACCATTTATTTATTACTCATTTTGTTACGTGTTATAATGTAATGGGTAGGATAGGATATGGATGAGAGTTTATAAAATGGATAATTACTCATTCCGTTACCCGCTATTTTGAGTTGATAGGGTAACAAAATTGTTTTTACCCTACCTGTTGCTAGCCCTAAACCGTGGGTAGGCTGACAAAGCGTACAAATTACTCCATTACCCCATCCACGTAAAATAACGAGTAAATAAATGAATTATCCATATCTATGTCCTGCTTATTTAAATTGCGGGTAATGGAACAGGTTACAGATAAATAGTAAAGAAAAATCATTTTAAACTACAAATAATATCGTCAGAAATCAAACTTATGAGTAAAACATTAATTTATAAATATAGTAATGATTTTATATCTAATTTTTTTTATAAAACATTTGAACACTGTAATGTTATTCTAAATATCTATACTATATTATAAAGTATTTGAGAAAAACACTTAAAAACTATTTTTTATGCATGAAGTACTGTTTATTAATGCATATTACTTAAAATTCAAGATTACAAGTAATTTTGCATAAATACAACTTATTAAAACTCAAATTTTAAATCCGTGTAACTAACTGGGGATAAAGATAATAAAATACATGATAAACATTCATTTTGAATATTGAAAATTTAAATTATAATTAAAATAATTATTGAGTTCTAATTTAATTATTATCTTTATAAAAAATTATATTATTAAATCAAAAATAAATTACTTTGTAATTAAATTTAAGAAGTTACACACAAAAAAAAAAACGAGAACTATATATAATTAATTTGATATTAATATCAATTTATTTATTTATTTTGTAAATTTTTATGTTATTTTCGAATTTATATTTTATTCAAAAATAAAAACATTATCGTCTTCTCAAAACCACATAAAATCGTATTATATCGATTGAGACAGAATAAAAACTAAACATTAAAATGAATATTTATCTCTCTGCATTGCGCGAATATCCTTCTAGTAATTATAAATATATTCTTTTAGAAACAACATTTCTTTTTGTTATCTTTATTTTTCCGATCCTTTTTTTCCCTAATTTAATCATCATGATCTCATTTACTCAATAAAAATAAAAATTATAATTGATAAATTTGATAACATTCTAAAGAAAGTATTAATATTACATGTATATATAGAGAGAGACTTGAGATCATGTGAGACCAAAGATTTTTCGTGAGACTCATAAGACCAATTCTTAACCCTTGGATTTTATCTACAATCTGAACATTCATAATCACAAAATTGCCACGAGACTTCTCAATAATCACAAAATTGCCACCGTGCAACTTTAGACCATTAGATCATTAACTTATAAAGTTGATCAATGAACATAAATTGGTCTTACGGGTCTCACGAAAACCATTTGTCTCACGTGAACCCAACCCTACCTACATACACACACATATAGGGGTCCAATCAAGGGAAAACTCGATTGTTTGTGATAACTGTGAGATTCAATCTCAACAACACATTATTAATAATCAATGATTATTATTAAACATATTAATTTTGGTAATTATTCATTAATTTTCAAATAATTTAAATTTACTGATAATATATAGGGGTAAATTAGTCTTTTTAAAATCTCTCTCATCTCTCCCCCTCTTTCTCTCTGACCAAGAATTTCTAACAGTAAAACACAAAACAAATATGATACACGTTGTGATACCCAAGAATTTATAACAGTAAGACACAAAACCAATTGTGTTACACAGTGTGATACAACTGTGATAACGTTTTGAACATGAGTTGATAATAGATGTGATCTGAGTTTTAGGCCACACACAACCACAATGTGGTACACGACTGTGATACAATTTTGTTGAGATAATTAAGAAAACCGAATTTGATAACTATTAAATAAGAAAAATATTTAAATTATAATTAATTATTTTACTAAAACGCCATTTACCTATTAATTAAGGTAATACAATTAATAACATAATGTAACACCCCCAAACCATACATTGCATGTAACACATATTTCATACAAAAGAAACACATAATATTATCCCATTCAGGTCCCTTAGTACAARAATCTAATATGACCAAATACAAGGTCCAAAAATTCTAATACATCACTTGTACTAATCAATCACAACTATACATCAAAGCAGATCTTCAAGTAAAAATGTGTATATGAAAATATTAAATTTTCCCCTTTCCCTTACTGTCCGTACCTCCTGCAACACATAGTTAAAATCACAAAACGAGGGTTAGACCGAAAGGTCTAGTGAGATACCCAATTTATGTCATTTCAGGGTGAAAATCACCAAAATCTTTATGGAAAACAACATTTCATATATATAACAAATATATGAATAAATAAGAATATAATACTAGATCTTTTCCACACTTCAAACAAAGTGTTTAGCTATATAAATCTCATACCTCAGAACCAATCAGGTTTCACATAATGCCACTTTTAAACCTTTTCAAATCAAAACAAGGTTTAAATAAAGTTTTAGGCTAAACCTGATGTTTTCTCCTCAATAACATCCAGACTATGATTTTCAATAAGAACCTTGATTCTAAATCTTTACATCACAAAGAAATAAAGATTCCAGACCACGGTAGTCTTAAGGGATATAATAGAAAGAGTTATATCATACAATACACATGCAAATGCCACCCTTATATCCAAATGTACACCTCTCCTTGATATGCCACCCTTATATCCAAATGTACACCTCTCCTTGATATGCCACCCATATCCCATGGTACACCTCTCCTTGATATGCCACCCTTATCACATGGTACACCTCTCCTTGATATGCCACCCTTATTTCCTCATCAAAACTTTTCATAAAACAATTCCAAACAGACCGCAGCCAATGGAATTATTATTTATTAATCCAAAAATCATTTATATCAAATCTTCATTTTATGATAAAATCACAATTTCACAAGGCACAACTCAAATCCGGTCAACTTAACTTAGCCGGATTTCATCTCCGGTCAACAATCCGGATAACACATCGCATAAGCTTTGTCCGGTTAACACTTATAATTAAATCAACCTTTATCCGGACAACACACCGCATAAAGCTTGATCGATTTATCACTTGAAATCAAAATCAACATCTTTGTCCGGATATCAAGTCCGGACAACGCTCAATACTTGACCGATTAAAAATAATCCGGCCACCATTTGGTCGTATTCCTACTTCTCAGTTCAAAAAGATAACTATTCTTACCAATCATAACCCGCTCAACGTTTGATCGGTTTAAAATAATCCGGACAATACATCGTTTAACCTTTGTCCGATTTAAAGCAATCCAGACAATACATCATTTAACCTTTGTCCGATTTAAAGCAATTCGAACAAACCTTGTCCGGTTTAATACCCGGATAAAACACTTGAGCAAAAGACTGATTTCTTTCCAAAAATAAACAAAATTCATATAAACCAGTAATAATTTTATGCAAAAGAGTTTAGAAATTACTCACTTTAACAAGCTTTTGAAATCAAACACTTGAAATCAACTTGAATTTCCAGACAAGATATCCGGTCAATTTCTCTTCTCTTTTAAATCGCACAACAAGAAACTTAAAAGCAAGAAGAGAAAATATGGAGGCTCAACCTCCCTTTTATACTTTCCAAAAATAGGAAAGGCGGCTAACACAACCCCTTTTTCTCACAAAAACCCTTATGCATGCATGCATACACCTTGCACACACACACACACATACATACATACATACATACATACATACATACATACATACATACATACATACATACATACATACATACATACATATATATATATATATATATAC